TTGCCAAGATTGTCAAGGGCAATGATGAGGGTGGTAAGAAGGCGGTGCTGAAGAAGGCGTTTGGGGCGCTGATGGCCTCTTCGGCGGAGGATGTCGCCAAGGGCATCACGAAATTGATCGGGCTGGCCAAGTCGCAGGGCGCCGAGTTTGCTTCGGGAGGCGTCGAGTCTACCAGTGGAGAGGTTCTGTCAGAGCTCGTCACGCGTCTCCACGGGCAGTTTGGAGAGGACATTGGCATATTTGTCCTCTTCTTCCTCAACTTTGTCAAGCTGCAGGCTGGAGAGGCGCTGTTCCTTGTGGCGGACGACATCCACGCCTACCTGTCGGGCGACATCATCGAGTGCATGGCGGCATCAGACAATGTGGTCCGGGCAGGCCTTACGCCCAAATTCAAAGATGTCACGACGCTCGTCGACATGCTGACCTACAACTACGCGCCCATCGACGAGCAAAAGATGACGCCTACGGACTATCCCTACGCGACCATGAACCGCGCGGCGTACAGCTCCGGCTCGGCGGTAGACCTGTACGACCCGCCGATTGACGAGTTCGCTGTCGTCAGGGCGGTGCTAAAGGGGCCGGGGGCGAAGGCTACGTTTGAGCCGCTGGAGGGACCTAGCATTTTGATTTGCACGAATGGCAAGGGAAAGATTAGCGTGGGACCGACGGTCCATGAGATCAGAGAAGGATACGTCTTCTTTGTGGGTTCGACGGCGGAGTGTGTGCTTGAGGCGGACGGGGACGAGTTTATAACATTCAAGGCGTTTTGTGAGGTGGAAGGGGCCAGGGAGAGGTTGTGATAGGTTTGATGGATGCGACGGGTGGGATGTAATGGAAGGAGCCAAAAACAAAAGGGACGATACAATATTATTATAATGCCGTATGAAATTGCTACCATGACCTGAGACGATGTCATGGTGTTGACTTGACGGGCGGCGGAGTTGCGTGCGGTGCCCCAGAACACAAGTGGGCAAGGCAAGTACAGAGTACCTAGACATTTTGTGCGTCTGGTGGTCAAGTGCCAGGCTTTTCACTGGCCGACAGCGGACCAGACTTGAGGTCAGTAGGGCACGAAGTACCGAGTACAACGCGGGCGCCGTATCCCTTGACATCATTTTTGGGCTCGGCCTCGTGTCTGGTGCTGCAGCTGCCCCTCCCACCCTTTCTTTCGACAGCTGGCGCCTTTCGTGCAAAGTACGGAGTAATCTGATAGCATTTAACTATAAACGCTGACCTTGCACCCCCTTGTTGACCTTGCTTGCCTTGCCTGGCCACCCCGTCTCGACCTTGACTTTCCATCACGACGAGAACCACAGCTACCTACAGCTGGGGTGCGTTTCCGTCCCCATCTTCGTCCCCATCTCCGTCTCCGATTTATTCGAGTTGCGTGGCTCCATCACAGTGCAGCAGCGAGACGGCCCTTTCTCTTTCCGCAATAGCCCTGGCAGGGCGTGGGTCATTTACCGTGACATTTTCTGGCGTTGGCTTTGGACGGCGTTGCCATTGCCACGGTTGCGTTTCTAGCAGGGACAGACCGAAAACGATACTGCGAGGGAAACTGCAACATTTGAACAGAGTGCCGAGTCTTACTTGCAGCTTCCCCAGCTTGATTGAGTCTCGAGATCCATACAAACCAATCGACAAGCTCCCGAGCTCCAGGCCCAACCACTTGCGCTTTCACTTTCTACCATCGACGAAACGTATGTTGACTGTCTTTTTCTTTCTTGCCTCCATTCTTTTTGACTTTTGGCTTTGATCTTGTGTCCTCCTGCATCGATTGAATTGCCTTTTTATCACACAATTTGCATCTCGACTCGCATCCGTTGGCATCAATGCATCCGCATTCTCTACCTGCATGTGCGCTTTATCTTGGCTTCGTTCCTGCATGCATGGCTGGCTGGCTTGCTCTTTGCGTTCCGATTTGAAGCCGAGTCACTACCGAGTCTTGTTACACCATTAGTTGCATTGGTGCGCACCTTGCACTTTGCAGCAGTCCGCAGAGAGAAAGCGTCTATTGTCTCAAACTCTATAGTTTGAAATATTTGATTTCGCGCTTCCTGCCCCCTCCTTTGCTGTCTTTTTAGCTTGGCTGCGTTTTGCTTCGCCTCTGTCTGCTTCGGCTTGACCCTGCAGCGCCGCGCCAGGGACAAGAAAAAAAAAAGGGCGGGAGAAGAAGACGAGACGGTAGCTTTACAAGACGAGCATTGTTGGACCCGAGCTCCGGACATAAATTGGGATCAGCTATTGACATTGGACCTCATCATGACTGACAAAAAGAGACAGCGCCGCAACGAACTCGACAACCTCCGAGAAGACCTCGGCCCTTACTACCATCGACCCTCTCCTCGCTCCGACTCTGTCGACACGGTTAGCAACCACAATCGCACCAACAGCGGAGGCGGCATCACTGGCAGTCCAGGCAGTGGCATCATGTCGCAACGCAACCGAAGTGGACGCGGGACCAACCGCAGCAATGGCAACAATTCTCACGGAGAGGAGGCCCAGATATGGGACTCGTGCAAGAGTCAGCTCGCCGAGATTGTCTCTGGCATCAATGCCGAGAATGACAACCTCTCGGAGCTGGTAGACATGGACAAGAAAGTCGGCGCCACCGACCCGGAAAAGATCCCCAACGATTCACTGAAACAGATGGAGCAGCTGTGTCGCAATGGCGTCAAGTTCTCCGAGGCAAACGTCGCCAGTATCAAGGCCGTCATGGAGCAGCTCAAGATTATGCGCGCCGTTATTGTCGCCAAGGAGCAGGCCGAGGGCGGTTCGTCTGCACCCACGGGGAAACGAAATGCGCGAGACAGTGCAGCAGCAGCCGCCGCTTCGTTGTACGATTTTGACGGAGCTGGGGACTCTCCGGTTCCCAGTCCTATTGGTGGTTCCTCGCGAAAATACGGCGACCGCTCAAGCAACCGAGATAGAGACAGCATGCCTCCCAAGGCCGACAGTGTAGAGCCCCAGGGCTCATCGGGAACGGGCAATGGTGGCGGAGCTTCAGGATCGACTGCTTCCGGTTCTGCTGCCGCTGCGGCGGCGGCCGCTAGCAACAAGTCCAAAGTAGTGTTTTCTAAGGGTGATGCGGTGGCATTCAAGCCCAGGACTGGCGGAGAAGGCGTATCGGACTGGATAATGGGCGAAGTGGCTCAGGTTCTAGGCGAAGGCAAGAGCCGGCGGTACAAGGTGCTGGATATCGAGCCCGACGACCAAAGCAAACAAAAGGAGTACCGGACGAGCGCAAGCAGCATGATTCCAATCACGCCCGAGAGCCAAGCGAGCACCCTCAAGGACTGGGAGTCTGGGCAGGTGGTTTTAGCCTTGTATCCCAACACGACGACATTTTACAAGGCTGAGGTTCACAGCATGGACAGCCAGGGGCGCGTGGCTCTCAAGTTTGAGGGAGAAAACGACTCGACGACACTTCAACAGGTGGAGCGACGGTTTGTGATTGAGTATCGGGCGTGATGTTTGCTGGGTCGGGATCTGTAGATTTCTTGCATGAGTAGTCGGGTCTTGGATCAGGTCTCGAAGTCTCTTTGGCGTATGGGGGGTCTGGTGTGTTTTTGTGATAGCAGGCGTTGGCGGCAAGGACATTGTTTTGTGTGTCTATCTGGTGTCTATGGGGTAGGTTGGACGATATCCATAGTGCTTTATTTGGAGCTCAGGCATGGCCGTCACGGGTACGTGGTGGGCAGTTGCTATGAGGAAGCCAAGGCATTATTTTACGAGCATTGTCAGCGTCTGAGTGTCTGGTGACGTTGTGACCTATGGTCTATGGTCTAGGTACCAAACTCGGTACGGAGTAGTCATGTGTCCCTTTGAATGTGCGCAGGTGCCACAGTATCTTGAGAATATCTTTCAAGTAATAGGTTTATCTTGTATTAAATTTTGTTTATACTAAGTATAAACTAATATTATATATATGTAAGATTATTAATGCTCTTCTTATTATATTATTTTTTGATATATTCAAATATAAACGTATACCTGCGCATGTAAAGAGATTTTATTATCTGCCTTACTTCGGATTGACGCCGTCTTTCATTTTCCAAAGTGGATATGGGCCACCTACCCCTGTCTGTTGTGTGGCTGCCCCTGCGTCAGAAACGTGCGAGAGTCCTTAATGTCGTTTTGCGCAATGACCTTGGCGCCGTCGGGATGCGGGCGGGCCATGTAAAATCATTGGTGAGGCGGTCCAAAGTGTCAAAAGTCAGGTTTTGCCATGCGACAAGTCAATCTTGAATGCAGCCAGCAGCCGTTTACCGAAGGCAACTGACGCAGATCAAAGCAAACGTGCTTCCGAGACCGCGCTGCCTTCTCGGCAAGAGAACAGCAAATTCCCAAGAGTTACTACGATACCGTCGCTCGGTGCGGAGCATCATCATGTTGGGCGCCGTGGCAGGAAAGCACAGGCCGTGACGCCTGACCCGAGGGCTTGGAACCCGCCGCCGTGGCTGGCTGCGACTGCGACCGTGACATTGCCGTTGCATTTGTTTATTTTGATTTTTGTCTTTTTTGCAATCAACATGAGGCGAAAAGCATGTGTCGTGCCCTTTCCCTCTCATGGGGCACGTTTCATCCAAGTCTAAAGTTGATGGACAGGGGCAGCCTCCCCCCCAACCCCCCTCCTCCGTCTCCCTCCCCACCTGGCCGAATAAGGGCTGGTACAAAGGTACATATACTTACATGGTCTGTCAGGTACCCGCGTTTCCCCCCCCCCCCAAAAAAGGAAACATGGGACATTGTAGCCACTGAAACCACCCAAAATCCTCTGGTCTCGCGACCCTTTTTCCCGACCTTTCAAACCTCTCCTGTGCTTCTCTCGTGGCTTTCAAGCGACGCATTTCGAACCCTCGCGTCACCTCGGCTGCTGGCTCGTGCGTAAATCCCACGAATATATACCCCCGACAGGCCCTGTACGCTTTCCCTATTTTTCCTCCTTTGCTGCTCGGCCTGGACAGACGCTGCGGACAAGGGGGAACCTTCTGGCAACCATGGGCGGACAACTCTCCAAGGTCATGGGCCGGCTGTTCGGGTCCAAGGAAATGCGGCTGCTGATGCTGGGGCTCGACGCCGCGGGCAAGACGACCATTTTGTACAAGCTCAAGCTGGGGCAGGACGTGACCACCATTCCCACCGTGGGCTTCAACGTCGAGACGGTCACGTACAAGAATGTCAAGTTTAATGTGTGGGATGTGGGTGGCCAGGATAAGATTCGTCCCTTGTGGAGGCACTACTACTCTGGTACGTTCTTTCTTTTCCCCGCTGCGCTCGACTTTTTTTTTCCCTTTTCCTCGCTGCGCTCGATTTTGGGGGGAGGTGTTTGTGTTTGCTTGGGGATGGGGCCGGGAGGCTGAATCGCTTCGCGGCGATGGAGCGAGGCTTGAAAGGCCTGGAGCGTAAACTCTATGCTACGCCGATCGAGCTAGGCGAGGCCCCTAAAAACCTGAGCGTGTGAATTACATGCACACGCCGTTCGAGCGCAGCGAGGCCCCAAACCCAAATATATGCCCACATCGTTCAAGCGAAGCGAGGCCCAAATAGGACTTCAAACTGACTTGGATGCAGGAACCCAGGGCTTAATCTTTGTTATCGACTCGTCGGACCGCGGCCGCATGGAGGAGGCCAAGCAGGAACTGCACCGCATTATCAACGATCGCGAAATGAAGGACAGCTTGTTGCTGGTGTTTGCCAACAAGCAGGATCTCAACGACGGTACGTACGCTTTCCTCGTGCCCACGTTGCGCAAGGGCAGTCGATCCAAGATGGTGACTTGATCGGGCGAAGCAAGGAGTCAAAACCAAGCCTCAGTCATGATGGAGCGAAGCGCGGACCCAAAAAGCTAATACGATACAGCAATGGACCCAAAACAAGTCACAGAAGCCCTCGAGCTCTCCAAGATCAAAGACAAGGCTTGGTACGTCGTGCCCAGCTGCGCCACCACCGGCGAAGGCCTCCTCGAAGGCCTAGGCTGGCTGTCCACCAACGTCAAGAGCCCTCCCGCCCCGGCAAAGAAGTAAACACCACGGAGCAACTACACAAGCGCCGACCATCACATCTATAGCAGCCCGAGCCGGCACTCGCAGCCCCCCTTGCGCCCTGCTGCGAAGCAAAGGCACACAAGTGCACGCCACAGCGATACGCATCGTCACCGTGGCGTTCGTCATGCCAGAAGGAAGACGACCGGCACGTGCCCAAACCCACCCCATCCATCAAGCGGCGGGCTGGTCAGAACTCTGTACTCTATTCCTTCACGATTATTAATTCTTTGTTTTTGCGCTTGTCTATTTGTCGCATGTAATCCGTTTGTTTCTTTTGTACGAATACCCTAGCCGGGCGGAGGAAATGTGGAATTCAAAGAGCGACATGTACCCTGTTGGCGGAGAGCGTTGTAATGAATACATATAATAATGGGAGGAGAACCAATACAACGGTGACGAAATGGCTGTCTGCTACACGTAATTCGTCGGACTACTGCATGTCTGAGTTGACCATGTGACACGGTCTGTCTCATCAAGCATTGTTTTTGAACCCGCGCCGCTCTACGTATCCTGCCACGGTGTACATGTGAAACACGGCCTTTACGGGCAGACCAAAGCAAATATAAACATTTGCTCCGTTTGTACCCATTCTTCATGACATGTTGCGGATGCTATTATACTGGCTACCGATACCCAAGCTATGCTACAAAATGCTTCTCATCACATGCTTCCTTTTTGAAAATTACGAGCTCTCGGGTAGACACGGTTGGATTCGACGAGATTCGGCTGGTGGAAATTTAGAGCAAAGGACGCCCATGGAATAAACGCAACAGGAGCAACCAGTCTAGGACGCCCCTCGGTCTAAGTAGGCGCCTGGTTCGTGGAAATGTGCTGTTGTTTAGCAGCACGTTCAAGACATGCTCTGCAAGGTCGTATATGTGCCCGCCTGAATCTGAGCCCCCTTGACCATCCCTTCGGAAGCCCATGTTTAGGCTCACGCAATGCGTTGCGTCAGATTAAAATATATCGAAATACTCGTTGAGTGCGGGCTGATCACACCTCCTCTTCAGTGCAGTGACGCTGTTTCTTGATTGCCCATGATTGGCGCCTTGTTGACCGCTTGTGCGGGTGTTGGGCCAAGATTGGGTTCCAAATGTATATCCGGCTCCTCAGGCCTAGTTGGATAGGGGCCCAGCAGGGGTTGCAGAACGATCCTTCGATCGTGCCCAAGCTGGGGGGATATGCGATATTGATGCCCTACAATGGAGCATCTACCTGGTCTGCCGTAGGCTACACGTTGAACCCGAGGATGATACTTGGGGCGTAATGGACAGGTGCTGGGACCAGGAGCTGCAATCGCATGGCGCCATGCTGGCTGCAAAGGAGCAGCGAACACGCTTGGCGTGATCCAAGGTGCAAAAGGCAACTGTCCCGTCAGTTTCCAAGGTAGCTCCCCAGTCAAGCGTAGCTTGCCTAGGCGCGGATTGTAAGGGGATATAGATGTAGTCTGTTAAAAAGGCATGTCTTTGAATCTCTGGTGTGCGAATATCTCGGTATACGATGGACTAATATCTTGTAACCCCGTCCGTGGGAAGTATCGGTATTGACTGTGTAGATAAGCCCGCCCACTAGGGCCCCTAGTGACTTGTCGCCATGATGATTTCGCCTCCTATTGCCGCAACGGGGAAGCCCTACTCCTTGACACGCTTAGGAGGCCGCAACAACGAATCATCTGGTAGTCCGCTCCTCTTGGTGCCGGGGAGACTGCTTGTGCGAATGTCGTTATCGTCTTGACTGACTCTCCGATGGGGATATTCCACCTTGAGGCCCTCAAAAGCGTTGGTATTGACGCGGTCGCCGGTAGTGAAGAATGTAGACTGGAGTGCCTGAGCAGCCGTGAGTCGCTTGGTCGGGTCGTATTCCAAGAGTCCAGCGAGGAGCTTGTACCCCTCGGCGCCGAGGGATGTCAATGAAGGACCCGACGATGCGCTTTGAGGAGCGTTGGAAATAGTGTTGTAGTACCATTTTTCGAGGTTGGATGTCGAACTGTTGCTGGAGGAATGGCCGTGGTGTTGATGATGATGATGGTGGTGGTGGCTGTGGTGAGAGGGTGGTGATTGCAATGTGTTGAGTTGGTTAAACTCTGGCATCATGGGCAGCAGCGGCCATCTGCTGCGGGTGGGAATGCCCATAATGTCGACGATTTTCTGCATTTGGTTCCTCTGAAAGGGGACCGTCTTCTTACTGTCCATCTTTGCCTCCTCACCCTTAAAGATGGGGCGAAGAGAAAGCAGTTCTGCAAAAATGCAACCCACCGCCCACAGATCAATGGCTGGTGTATAGTGGTATGAGCCGAGAATCAGCTCTGGCGCCCGGTACCAGATGGTGACAACGACCTTGTCACCGCTGAATAAAGAGTGCAGCGGCTTGTCGAATCGCCTGGCCAGACCCAAATCTCCAATCTTGACCTCGCCACCGGAAGTGACCATGATGTTGGCAGGCTTCAAATCACGATGCAGGACCCAGTTGGTGTGCAGGTACTGGCACCCGTTGAGCAGTTGAAACATGATGCTCTTGATGGTGGCCGGGGGGATAGGATGCCGGGGCTGCTGGGTGTGGTGGTGGATGATTTGCAACAAGTCGTGCTCGGCATACTCGAAAACCATGAAGATGCACTTGTCCTCCAGAAGCGTCTCCACCAAGCGGATGACGTTGTGGTGGCGGAGTTCGCTGCAGAGGCTCATTTCTCGAATGGCACTTTGTGAAATACCCGTGTAGCTGATCTGCTCGCCCTCCTTGTCGGGCTTGAACTTCTTGATGGCCACCTCCTGGCCGGCGGTGGCACTGCTGGAGGAGGCTCCTGATGGGGTGGTTGTCGTGCGAACAGCTACCGTGCTGACGCGGCTGACGGCTTTATACACACGCCCATATGTGCCACTGCTGATGAATCCGACAATTCTGTACCGGTCCATGACCCGAAGCCGGGGATGGAAGGCTCCGGGGCGGTCATGGGTATCTGCATAGCGATAGTGAGCTGAGGATGAACTGAACGGGAGCGAAGACGCTGAGGACGGGTGAGGGAACTGCGGTCCATTTCGCATCCGCAGAGGCATGGTGCTTGATGGTGGACAGTGCAGAAGTGAAGGTGAGAGAGAGAGCGAGAGAAGGACAAGATATATCAACGGTGATTGAGGTATGGAGTCGGAGTGCCGAAGACGGCCCAGGCGTGCCTCAACGCGGAGACTCGTTTTTCCCGGTCCCTCACTCACGACGAACAGGACCCGACTAGCTGCAAAGCAATGAACATGGACACAACAGAACGCAGAGCGCAAAGCAATGGGCGGCGAAGGCAATGGACTGGAAGTTGAACGAAGGGTCCAGGTGCCGAGGGAAATCGGCCTGAATGGGGCAAAATGCCAAAATGGCAAAGCGGTCTGGCCCCCCGAGTCCCAAGATGCCACTTCTCACTTCTCTCGCAACTCGGCCCAACAAAGAGACAACGCTAAGACAAGAGCCGCCCGGCCCGAAAGCCCCCCCTCCTTTTTCTTTTAATTTTTAATTTCTAATGTTTTCATTTTGGCTTCTTGCCTTTGCGCCCTTGCGCTTGCAATGTCGGCTGCTCTCTCTCGCCCAACGCCACAAGCATGGGGACAGCGGAGCAATGGACGCCATGAATTGTGGGCGAATGGAGATGGAGATGGAGCCCAAAGGCAGACGACGCGGAGAAGTGAATTCGTTTCAACGTACCTGCAAATGCATCCTGGACACTCCGTTTAAGGGACTGGTTTCTACTGATGGCGTTGGCGTTTGGGCCAGTTGGCGGGTTCGTCAAGCTCATGCCGCCGACTCAGCGCCGCGTGGCGGGAAGCAACAAGGACGGGTCACGGAACGGGGTACGCACGAGTCGCCCTCGCCGGCTATTGTCGTCTTGGGGACGCTTCGAGTCAGGCCGTGTTGAGCAGAACGGAACCAGAAGGCCAGACGAGCAGTGTGTCGAACAGAAGTTTGCCGGATGCCGCCGCGCCGCGACCATTCGCGATGGCGCAGCCGGTGATGGTATTCCAGCCTCAGCCAAGCTGGCTCCGGGGTGCTTGCACAAGCCTGACCGGGCGCTTCCAAAAGCGATGAAACAGTCTATCGTACAATGCTTATTGTGCCGTGCGCGTGTGCGTGCCGTGCCGTGCCGTGACGAATGACGAGCGGCGAGTGGCGAGCGGCGAATCAATCACTGCCTTTAATCACTGCCTTTGCCGCATACCAGACGATCGAGTCGCCTCGGAGTCAAGTGTGAATAACAAATCTGTACGTATCATCAGTGGCTCATTTGTTGACTTGCCAGGGCTCGGGCATCGACAGCGGAGGCGGCCATGGATCCCCGATTCAGGCATGGAGGTGAGACGGCACCGTGGTGCTGCGCGTCGGCCCAAGCGGAACTGTCTCTGTCGCGAATCTGGTCCAAGTTGCCACCTCTATATCACGAGAAGGAAGTTTTGACAACCGACATTCGGCATGCGCGGTGCGGCAGCAACTTGTCTCGGTGTGGCAGCGCAGCTTTGCCGAATGTCCCCGCCGCCTGCCACCGTCGCATGCTAAAAGCACAAGTGCCGATTAATATGACTAAGCAGCCATGCCAAGATATGCACGACATCCTCGACTGCAGGACGCAGTACGGAGTAGTACATCTAAACATTTCAATTTCTCGACATCTCGACTATCCCTTTAAATATACAGAAATACGCTTATTATAACAGTCTTCTTCTTTTTATAACACCTTGAAAATATTTAAAATTGTTTGAATACAAGTTTTTCAATTAAATTATATTTTAATCTAATATAACAAACGACTTGACTCAACGTGCAGCTCCAAATCGTGAATACGGCACCGCACCACTCTTAGTTGGCATCACTGCCTTGAAGTAGCCTCGTGTGGGCTGGACATACACTTGCACCACACACCACACACAGCACATGCACTTTACGCAGTCAATCATCTTTCCCACCCAGGGCCATGTTTATTGCGCTATGTAACGATTCAACTCATCATGAGCCACCATACAACCAATTCTACTATTGCTTCGCCAAATGACTGCTTCTTCTTCTTTCTTTTTCTTTTTTTTTAACCTTATCGCGGTCCTAGCTTCTCCAGCACCCGAGGCCCTTGTTCATCCCACTCCGCCTTGGTCACCCACATGCTCTCCTTGTCAGCCATAATGTTTGCCAACACCGCACCACCAAGGAACACCATGTGTCTTCTCCTTGGCGGGTCTTCTATCCGCACCTTGAACTTGCTCAGCCTCTCGGGGTTGCCCTGCAGAGCCCTCGTAAGCCACAGCTGCTTCAGCTCCTTTTCCAGCCTTGACGGCAGGCCCGGGTACATGCTGCTGCCCCCTGACAAGACAATGGCCTTGAACAGAGAAGCGCGAATGTCCACGTCGGCCGATTGGATCGTGTTGAACAGAAACTCGCCAAGCCCGGGGGATTCGCTATCCACAAGATGAGGCTGGAACAGACATTCGGGGGCTTCGAATCGCTCGCTGCCCACTCGAATAACACGCCCGTCGGGCAGGGTATAATTCTCCACAAGGACCGTAGTGTCTTCGCTCAGCCGCTTGTCTAGTTCTAGGTCGTATGATACGTAGCACAGCTTTTCCTTGATCTGTCGGACGGTTTCGAAATCCGCCGTCCGGTTCAGAGCGTAACCGCGGCGGAGGAGCAGCTTGATGAGGTTGCGGGTCACGTCGCGACCGGCCACGTCTAATCTCTTGGTGAGGTGGTTGAGCACAACCGACTCGTACACCGGAACAATGTGTGTAACGCCGTCTCCAGAGTCGACAACGACGCCCGAGCTCAATCCTGTGTTGCGAAGTCAGTAAAAATAAACCAAGGAAAAAAAACACCCCTCCCCTTCCACATGAAGCCTTCACCACATCATTTACGACGTACCCTGTGCATACAAGGCCAAAACAGCCTGAATAGCCACATAGACACCCCCGAACCCGTACCGGTCAAACATGACCTCGCACATCTGCTCTCTGTTCTTCAGCGGGTTCATCGGCGGCTCCGTCAGCAGAATCTTCTGCCCATTCGTGTCCACCTTGAGCTTCTCGTAAAACGTATAGTCCCACAGGTGCTGCATATCATCCCACTTCTTGACTATGCCGTTTTCCATGGGGTAGCTGATCTGGAGCATGGTACGGGCCGCGGCCGCCTCGTCGCCGCACATGATATCCTTGATGACGACATTGCTGTCGGTTCGTTCTTCAGATCGCAGGATGGGCCGGCCCACGATGGAGGGGAACTGGTGCTCGGGGAAGTTCTGTGCGGCATATCCAACTTTGAGGAAGCCGGTGCCGCCGTCGAGGACTGGCGTGCGGAGTAACTCGCGTTAGCTGCGATTGCTTTCCCCCGGAGAGCGGAGCTTCATAGTAGCAGGCTCAGCACGCTCGTTGCTGGTGAAAACAACAGGGAGAACATACCAATGGGTGGAGTGTTGGCCATCTTTGCGACAGCTCAACAGTAGGACGGGGTGTTGACGAGGCCAAAGCTAGGAAGTTGGTGGTTGTGGGCAGCTCGAAGTGCCTGGATGGAGATACGTCGTCAGCACCAAGGAAGGATAGTGGGGGTTTCGGGTCGGTTGTCGTCAGAGGTGGCTCAGCAGCGACGGCGAGGGTCACGTGACCTCCCCGCGAGTGACATCTCCGGGCAGCTTAACGTTTGATGTCATGAACTACAAATAATCCAGATCTGGAACAAGATACTCTGATTTTGTAACAATGGATTCGGAATGGTCCCCTCATATGCGCATACTACTCCTCAACCCCAATTCCTCCGAGGTCATGACCAGAGGCATGGTGCAGGCTGCCAAATCTACCCCCGTATCCAATGTATGAATGCTACCGACACAAAAAAACATGGACGAGCAGGGGACATGCTGACTCTCCCCGAGTCTGTAGAAATGCACTCCATGACGGCCAGCTCCACGGCTCCACCTAGCATCGACAACAGTGAAGACATCCAGACGAGCACAAAAGTCGTGTTGAGCGAGCTGCCAGCCGCAGATTTTGCACGGAATAACTGGGATGCCATCCTGGTGGCCTGTTTTAGCGTCCACAGCCTCGTTCCGGAGCTGTCAAATTGGTTTGATGGGCCGGTGACGGGCATTTTTGAAGCCAGCATCTTGACCGCCATGGCTCTGCTAAGGCCCGGTGAGCAATGGGGGATCGTGACGACGGGCAAGTTCTGGGAGAAACATCTATCTGAAGGCGTTTATGAATTCCTGGGCGTTGACGCAACAGGTCGCAGCAACAAGTTTGCTGGTGTTGTCACGTCGGGCTTGACGGCAGGCGATTTTCATACCGTCTCACCGGAAGAGGTAAAGACAAAATTGAGCCTGGCCACCAAAGGCCTCCTTGAATCGGGCAACATATCATGTGTCGTCATGGGCTGTGGAGGAATGGCAGGGCTAGAGGACATTATTCGTTCTACCGCAAAAGATGTATACGGGGAGCAGAGAGCCAGGGAGTTGTACATTGTGGATGGTGTCAAGGCAGGTATTATGCAACTGCATCAGAGCATAAATGGCGCAAAAACCTTCAAATAGACGCTGTACTAGAAGTTTTCGAATACAAAATTAATGTCATCAATCGCTAACAGAAAAACAAAAAGGTTTGCTGTCTTGATTAATCCAAACGGCGTGTTCGTCCCCAAACCTCATCAGCATCCTTCTTTCCCTTCGTCTCAGGTACCCGAGCACCGACGAACATGGCACCCAGCGCAGCCAGTCCGGCAAAGAGGAAGTACACCCATCCGGCTCCACCAAACGCCTTGTTCAATGCGGCATTGATGATGGGGAAGAACTGGGCCACGATGAATGTTGCAATGTAATTGGCGGCCAGGCACCAGCTCTGAGTTGCCCCAACAGCCTCCTGTCCCACGAGCTCTGACGCCATGATGAAGGGCACTGGACCAAGGCCGACTGCGAAGAAGGCCACAAAGGCAAGAACAGCAATTGCTGACAAGGCCTTGGCACCAAACAGGATGGAGAGCGCCAAGGCTAGCGAGCTCGTACCTTGTCCTATGATGGAAATGAGTAAACACTTCTTGCGGCCTAGGCGATCTGGCAACGGCGCACAAGTAATGGTCATGCCGAGATTGACGGCCGAGATGATAATGGTGAGCTTTGCAGAAGAAACCGGGAGCAAATCGGCGAGCAGGGAAACAGAATACATAATGATGGAATTGATACCGCAAAACTGCTGCGTTAGCATGATTCCGACGACGGCAATGATGGCAGGCCGTGTTTTTACGTCCTTGACAACCTCCATGAAACCCATGTGTCGTGTCGAGCCAGAGGTGGTAGGAGACAGTGGCGCGGTTCCATCAGTCTGACCCAAAAGACCTTCTTCCTCAGCCTCTCGAGTAGATGCAGCACCGCCACCAGCACCGGCGCCCCAATGTGAGGTTTCTTCGCGGATATCAGATCCGCTCCCCCGAATGCGCTGCAGCGTGACCTTGGCCTTGGTAGGATCGCCATGTGCAGCTAGCCAAGCAGGGCTTTCGGGAACGACGAATAAGCCAAGAAACTGTGTCGTGGCGATGCAAACACCAATACCAAGAACCCATCTCCAGGCGTGGCCGTAGCTCAAAAAGTAGCCCAAAGTCTGGGTGACGATGATGCCAACATTGATAGAGACTTGGGTCATGGCGCCGAATAGCCCTCGCTCGTCCGGAGGAGAGATCTCGCTGATGTAGAGAGGCACGATAACTGTGGAAGCTCCGGCTCCAAGACCCGAAATAAGACGGCCAACAGACATGGCGACGACGCTGCCGGCCAACGCCTCGACGGCAGCTCCCACAATGTACAGCAAAGCCGTCATTCTCATTGCAGGTAGTCGCCCCCGCTTGGAGGCAACTGGTCCGGCTGCCAGGGCGCCAGCGAGACCTCCAACGGTGAAGACGGAAGAGATGGTAGCAAAGGCGGCTTCGCTCATGGGAATACATTCTGGTAGCCAGCCAGAAGGCCCTCCGGTCCTGTCAGCTTTGCCCGCAGCCTCTTTGATCCAGCCAGCAACGTGGGAGGCAGTGGAGATGGATTTTTTTTGACAGGTAATGACATCTTGAGGTGCGTTGAGTTCAGCCTGGAAATAGTTAGTTGGGCGGTCAAAGAGCGTCCCCTGATGGTGTCTCTGGAGGAGTGGCCGTGGAGTCGTGGGGCTACCAGTTGACGGTTGCAGCCACACGAGTCCAGGGCCTGGAAGGAGTCGAAGCCGACACTTACCAGATGAAAGCCAAACTGTAGCGATGCAAGGGTAGCGATGACGATGAGTACTACCAGATAAGCGGTGATGTCATGCAGGCACTGCCGGATGCCGCGTTCCGCCATTGTTCAATCGTGAGAGATGATGGTGATGGAGATGATGGAGATGCTAAATGTCACTGGTACGTACAGGGCTAGTGCGGGCCATTTGATGTCGCTAGTGACGGGACCCACTAACTTACTTACTTAAACGTGACCACATTGCGAGTCCGAGACATCTGGACGACCTTTGGACACTTTAAAGTTGCCTGGCAGCCATTGCACACCAAAGGGGCTTTCCCCGTTACCCATCAGATATTTGACTCCATGCTGCACCCGACCTTTGATATTTGCAATGACCTCGTGACCTGAGCGATCGCCCAGTTGCGGCGGCGGAGAAAAGGGACGAAGAGGGGCTAAATGCATTTCGGAAACCACGCCTCGAGCATTCAGAGGAGAATGCTTGGTATTAAAACGACGAAAATTGAAGGGAAGAAGAAGTTTTTGGAGTCCCTGTCGCTAGACTGAGATACCTAGGTGTCCTAGCTCAAGTTTTATACCGCTCTCATTGGGGAACCTGAGTCGCTCGGCTGTCCCAGAATCGACCACTGATGTTTGGACCGATATTCACCAGTGCATTGACACACCCACTAAGCGCGACTTTCGAATGCCACCATACGAAAGGACTGAGATGACTATGAAGGCTGTTGCGCATGCCTAAACCTCGTTGCACAGGGTATAGATTGGCTCCTAAATCCATTGTTTGCCATTCCAAATGTTGAGGCAAATACAGAACCCATGTTGCGTAAGCACCAGCGTCTCTGCCGGCGATAGGCATACACACTCTTCACCAGTACTTCGCAAGACCCGGAGAGTACTTTACAATCCAATCATCCAATGCACGTAATTCATCCATCGCAAAGTACACACCAACATATCATAGTGCCATGTTTATCCGCCATAGGTCCAGAGGAACACATCCGCCAGCCCTTCTCACCTAAAAACTGACATTTTATTCATCTTTCCCTAGTACTCACCCGACCTTGCACAAATAGCGGCATGTATAGGCACAAGACATCGAACAGAGGTCGTCTGGGACAAGTACGTGGCTGGGACCCCAACACTGCTTAAAAGGATATGCCACTTTAGCTGAGAATTTTCTCCTTGCACTCAGTGCTTGATGCTCATATTGACGAGAACTTTGATAAACCCTGGGAATCCAGCATGGCGAAGGGTGCCACGAACGACGGTGTGTGCCTCGGGGATGTTGTACCTGTAAAAATTAGCAATGGTTCGAGAACATGCAGGTGTATATTCTTACCGTTGGGTACAGCCTGTGCTATCTCGGTTCTTTGTAAGCGAACAAGTTGAAGCCAATGAAGCCAGTATGGTAAGGCCTGGCGGCTGCCATCAAATCCAGGCCAGTACTATCCATGACATTTCCGGTCCTCGAGGTACCTGGCATTGGTCTTCAAGGCCAGCAAGACATGCTCCAGCTGAACTTGTATCCTAAGCATGGTAGCAGACACGGGAATGCAGTACCGCAAAATAGCAGCCGCTAGCGCCACGGCTTCAATATTAGGGCTTCACGCATGCTCGCAGATTCCAACTCATTGACCTAGCGGAGAATCCCTAATGGAAAGGAACATTATTTGTCTACTCACGCGGTATCAAGACTCTTTCTCAATCTCAAATCCATCATATCTCAGTGAATAATATTAATGTATACAATCGAGTAAAGCCTGAGCAAAATTTTAATGCAATCTACGACGATATGCCGCTCCGTGGCTGGTGGCCATGGCCAAAGAATCCGAATGTCTAGGACGACCAAGAAACTTCCCCATCAACAGGATGGAAGACTCTTGTAATCTGTCAATACCTGAGGGAAGTGGCCATTGACCGAAACGCGTTTGGAATAGGGGGAATACCGGTCAAAGTCTACTAGATTTAAGCCAACATATGCTTGAAAGCCTAGACTTTAACGTTAGCTTTAATAAACTAGTCTTTAAGGATGAATCTTTTCCACGGATAACCGTCTTCTCTTTGAAGACGCGCCAGCTAAACATGTTGTTCCGCTGACGTAGCGTCTCGCTGAAGATTGCATCGAGCCGCGGGCTGTTGGATGTGAGATACTTGACGTCCATCCTTTGCCATATAGGCGATAAACCAGTATCAAGCGTTTTTTTTTTTATTTATTTATTTATTTATTTTTTTTGGGAAATACTCTTACGCGAGGAATGGAATAATTAGTAAAAGAAGATGCTACGTTTTGACGGCGGCCAAGTACAAGAAATACGGGAGTGGGAGTGAGGCTTTTCGTCTCGGCGTTCACGCTAAGAAAAAGAATAGGAACAATAAGCCGATTCGTGACTGATTATCGACTTCAAGCACATCCATCCATCTAACGAGGTGCTTGAATGCGAAGCACTGCCAGCTCCGCTGCTCTGGTAGATTGATAAAGGCCCGGAAAGGCGCCTTGATGCGGTCGCGAGGCTCACACACTGGCACAAGGCCCGAAGAAGTCGGCAACTCCATGGAACAGTATGCAAGCATGCGCATTGAACTGCATCACTTGGTCTACAATTTCCGGCTCGAACTGGTGAAGATGCGGGCCAAACAGGGACTGCAATGTCGCGTCCACCATGCTCCTGGGAGTCCTGGCCACCAGCAGGAGCATTAATGCTAGAGAGGCAACCGTTGTAGCTTCTGGTGTAAAAGTCGAGCTTCTCACTCCGAACCGGCCCTTGCAGACAGCCAGAGAATACCTTGGAAAGGCTGTCCAAGTTTGATGGGCCGAGAGATTGCGGCGTACAGCTCGTTGGTATCACCAACGCAGCTCCTGGCTATTGCTTCTGTGTCAGCCAAAGCACCTAGAATCTATTACAGCCGCCAGAATGTCGGAATAGCTTACACGACTCATGAATTAGTTGATGAGAGTTGCCCGAGAATGGTTGAAGGTGACCTTATTCCTGGCAACTCCTCATGACTTATTCGCCCGGTGAGGGACATGAAAATCACCAATAACTTGTCGTCAAGCTAGCAGGCATTCTTTGAAAGAGGTGATGAGCAAAGCCGGCTTGAAAGGTATCCAGTATGACATACATCTGGGCCCCGAGGGCCAGATCCATGGTATTACTGTGAGCATCCATGGCCGCCACAGCAGGAGGAGTGTGCCACAGGCAAGGAGAACCAGGGCGGCTGTGGACAGCGACAGGAAGCAATACCATATTCATAATTTCCCATTTGATACTTTCTCCCATACAACCATCGGCTCAAGGCGTCCCTCGGGTAAACGAGGTTAGAATGCAGCCCCAAGCCCCTCAACACCATCGCCATCATTCGAGGCTGAGAAGTCATGACGAGCTTGAGTCCCTTGTGCCTGTCAAGATTGTCCTGAAGAGAAACTTGGACAAGATCATACCCTCTGATGACATTCTATGCCAGATCAATACACGAGGTTAAGCTGTGGATACGTTCAACGTGTACATGTGTGCTCTCTGCCGGGTTGATGTTCCCCCGGCCCCCAGACACTGGGCCTTGGTGTTTCGACCAAGAACTAAACAAGTATGAATCTAGAATGTATCGCAAGTGTAAAGTGTCCTCCTCAGTAACAGAGTAGAATAAGTGACATGTGCTTTGAATACTGCAGTAGGAGGCAAAAGGTACTTAACCAGGTCAAGTACCTAGCCATTATGCTTTATATTATGCCGACGGGTACGTAATCTAGCAGGGCTACGCAAGGCCACGTAATCTAGGAAGCCCGGCTGGACTATCTATCTAAAAACCTTTAATAAGGGCCTTTTCAATTCAAAGGTGGCCTTTTCAATGTCTTCAATTTCCATCTATAAAAAAGGCCTCAATTTCTCGATACATAGATGCAATCAAGGACCAAGTCCACATTCAATGCAATACGTAGCCGCCAAAATCGTGATATATTAAGATATGGTAGGGACAGAGTATAAAAGGGGCTCAATGTCGTGCATTTAGCCCTTTTCGGTATTTGTTTTTCATCAATTTCATACATTAGTGTATCCTTGATACGTAAATTTATTCTGCAATAGACTGTATGCTGAGAAAATTTGCAGCAAGTTTGTTTGGTATGTGGAGGACACAGGCGCACTGCGGCTTCGTAGAAAGTCATTGCCGCCGGAAGGACTACTAGAGAGGGAAATACGTACTCGAGAACCACTTGTAACGCCGTGTACGGTAGTTGTGAGGCCATGGCAACACCAATCCCTATCAAAACTAAATATGCTGCCTACTGTGCCGTCGGCGTTGCAGGGCTGATGGTGGCCAGGAGGCCATGATACCACCGGCAATCATGTATGGCACCTGGTTGTTCGTCAGCCAGTTGTTTCAGCACCTTGGAGAGCCGGGGTTTCCCACGTAGTAGCCCCATTCGACACAATAGCCCACGTCAAGGCCAAAGTTCACGATTTGAGGCACCATCACTGCAATGTACCGCACGCCGCTCTCAGTGGCTGTACCGCCTCGGACGGTCTGGAAGAACATGGGAAGACAGTAGCCGCACTACATGTATTGGGAGAGAGAAACTTTGTTAAGAGCAACAACACATCCGATAATGATGAGGGCTCGTGCTTAATGAGCGCTACACACGAGGTTGTCTGGTCCGAAAGCATATCCCAGGCAACCGACATCATTCGTTACTGGTTATCGCGTCCGTTGGCTCGAAGCACAGCTGATGACCTCCGTGGCTTGTCACTCGGCGTGCTTGCCCAGGCCGGGTTTGGCATGTCATTCAAGTTCCAAGGCATGATTCCAAGGCATGAGGAAACCTCACATGCGGATCTTGCGGCCAGCTACAAGGACTCTCTCCAGCTGATACTGGAAAACTGCATCCTGCTCATTGCCATGGGGCCCAAGTTCTTCACAAACACGCCCTGACTGCCTTTCAAACGGCGACAACTCGGCGAGGCCGTCAAGGCATTTAAGAGGTCCATGACGGAAATGTACGAATCGGAGAAGCGCAAGGTCGCCGAGGGCACGTCGGACGTCGGCACCAGGCGTACCTTCTTGTCGTCTCTTGCCTAAGCGTCTATTGATGCCAAGGAGGGCGAAGGCCTCACGGAGCGAGAAATCTACGGAAACATATTCGTCATCAACTTTGCCGGACACGACACGGTTTATGTTTTTACCTTTGCCGTGTATTTCCTGGCGTCTAACCCGGCAGTGCAGGACTGGGTGTCGGAGGAACTTCATCATGTGCTGGGTGACCAACCGCCACAAGAATGGAACTATACGGCGGAATTTCCTAGGATCAAGCGTTGTCTAGCTGTCTTTTACGAAAGCATGCGGATGTATACCCCTATTCCGGTCACCAAGTGGACGAAGTACAAGGCGCAAACTCTAGATGTCGGGGACAAGACACTTGTCCTTCAGCCAACACCATGATATGCCTGGCTTATTCCTCATTACAGACTGATCCCAGATGTTGGGGGTCAGACTCGCTTACCTGGCGGCCGTCTCGCTTTACAAAGACGGCTGCTGAACTCGACCCCGAATCATCTGTCCCACAGACACAAGGCGGGGACGAGACTTGGATGAGGAGCGGTTTATTCAGCCGAGACGCGGCACCTTTATTGGCTGGTCGGAAAGTGTGCGCGACTGTCCTGGCAGAAAGTTCTCTCAGGTCGAGCTTGTGGCTACTATGGCCTCGCTATTCCGCAATGGGCGCGTAGACCCTGTGTGTTTCGAGGGGGAGACGCTGGAGGGCGCACGCAAGAGTGTCCTCGATCTTATTGAGAAGGGGTCTGCAACGGTCTTGTTAATTCAGATGTTACATCCGGAGAAGGCGCCGCTTGTTTGGTCAAAGAGGGAATCTTGGAATAGTTCTTGTCCCAAGGGATAAAAAAGCAGTGCTTGTTAATGAGATCTTGGGCAATAGATGCAGAGTTGAATCGCATGCATAGTCGGAGGCAATGGGTATTTGAATATATCCAAGTTGCTCAACGCCACTATCTCTAGAGCAATAAATAAGTGGCAATCCTTTTATATACTGTCCTTTGGAATTTGGAGTCGCACTAACTCAGTCTATCGTATATATACTAAAACTTACAAGAATGTTATTATCAGTCCCACACTTACTATACTTGCCTATATAAATGGAAATACAGTCGGTGTCAAACTAGAATTAGCCTCTACCTTGTGTAGAGTTGACCTCCCCTCTCTTAAACACACACCCATCTATTAGCTTATCCGTTATAGATGCCAGACTAGCAGTAAATACTCAGAGTCTAAGTGGCATTTGAAGCTAGTCCAGCCAAGACAAGTACTTAACACTGGAGAGAAAGACCAAGGCTTCACAACACTAATCAACAGCTCGTGGACAGATAATGATAGTTGCATTAAACATGTGCATATTCTTCACGTGGCGGCCCATAAAAACCGCGTAGCACATGTCTAGTCGAATAGCGGTGCCCAATGCACACAAACTACAATCGCTACCTAGATACACTCAGGGGGCGTTGTGCACCCGAATATTCCTTCAGGCTCGAAACATTCTGCCTTCAGGCTTCTTTCCTTTCTCTGCTCATCTATCATTGGCAAGGTTGGGTCAGTCAGAGCAATCGCTGCTATTCGATAAGAGCGTGTTCTTTTTCGTGATATACTCTACCAGCCAGACCCCTCGTATTTTTGGAATGAGACTTACTAGTTTCAACCTGACTATATTCTATCGTACGGTCAACATAACGCCGATGCTCCCATGGATAGTGCAGTTTATCTCAACCTCTACGGCGACTGTGGTGGGGAGAAACTCACCACATGACTTTCCCGGACAAGAAGAGACTGTCCCGCTACAAGATTTCTATAGAATTTTGTTGAGAAACTGGGAAACGGGCAAATATTACTTTGATAGCCAAGAAGGGCAGATTTTCGTGCGCTGGTGGAGGCCAAATTACCTAGACGAAGCCCTTTTATCTGTTATTGAGAGTCGCTTGCCGCAGATTTTCCGAGGCCAATAGCCATAAAAGGCTAGCTCCCTTGGGCTCTGAGACTCTGGAAAGTTTGCGAAAAACTGGCCATCGCAAGCGCCAAGGCCCAATTTCAAGTATATTGCGCCAGGTCTATCTACCTTTACTGTAGAGACATTCCTGCAAATTCACATTGTCAGAGCACCCGACTCGTATCGTCAGAGCTCAAAGTCCTATACCAAAGATGAAGTTTCAAGCCTGCTATTTCCTCCGGACGTGGCAGTTCCTGAAACTATCTCGAGTAGCAGTACCAACTGGGAAATAAGCTCATTTGAAAAGGATTATGGCGCTGGCAAATTTGCCGTTGCTCGAAGAGCTGGTCTATGTACAGACTGTTTGGACAATTACAATGCGGATACCGTGCGTCTCATTCACCCGTCCGGGTTGTCCCCCATCATCGACTTTGAAACTCTGTGTCCTTGGGACCAAGGACGAGGTCCCCGTCGGCAGAGGTCTTGGAAAGGTGGATGTTGTTGATTGAGAGTGGAGTTTGGGATGTCGACTCGAGCGGAGTTGCAAATGGCATCCAAGGGTTCAAAACGCATGCTTCAGAGGCAGAACTGAAGTGGAAGAAGATAATCAAGCAGCAACTCGCAAGTTGAGAAAGTAATAACTGCGTGGATGCATCAAAAGCCAAATACATATCAAGAAGAGCCCTAGTGAAGCACTTTTCCTTTGAGCCTAGAGAACAATCAGTATCTCCTCAATGCTATAAAAATGTCAAATAACTCACAGCAGGCACTGCCATCGTCATAGTAACCGTCCTTGCTACAGCAAAGTCGCCTAGCCGTCTGAGAATCGGTTGACAGTCCTAGAGGACTAGGGACTGATCAACGGAAAGAAGACGCAGACCAGGCAGAATGGGACAGCAAGAATGCGCACGGGAATGCTAGAAAAAGATGTACCGCGTATTCCTGCTGTTGCGCACGAACACATCAGCATTGCCGATTCTATTAGTATACGGCAAGTCTTCGCGGTTCTCATCATAAATCGCTATACGGAGCTAGTAAATCATCATACTTGTATAGCTGATCCAAGCCATAGCCGGGCTACCTAGTTATCGCAAGATTTACGTTTGTGTGGCATGTAACCACCGAGGTGCAGACGGATTGATCAATAATAAGGTAAACTAGAGGAGACGGTTGCTTGTAATGCTAATATTAAGGTTAATAAAGGCTCGCCGTTAGCCATATGAAATATCAGCACATATATCTGGCGGACTCTTTGGGATTGCAAGGCTTTCGTATTCAGATGTCCCGCTTGCTACATCTGTAAACAGAGTTCCTTGGATGCTCTCTCTTGTAACCGAACAAGAAGATAGGGGCACAGAGTTAGCTCGTAATGCAACGGCTGCAACTTAGGCCACTTTAGCAGTACCGAGGGAATGAATGAGTTGAAAGTCGCAAGAGAAATTTTGGCGCCATTACTCAGAGCTAAACATCCTATTCACCTCTATTCATCCTCTTCACGTCCAAGGCAATCATGTTTTACAACGCGTCCAACAACGTGACTCTCAAGGTTTGGCCCTGCTTTATTCTCAACAAGCATTCCTGCATCAGCCAGCTCTGGTACCCCTAGAACTGTAGAAACAGGCCTGTGGCAGGGGATTCGCTGTTTAAGGCGTGTAACGTACAAGTCCAACGTTTTCGACATGCTTACATGGTAAGAGCGAACTGATATGACATCCTCCCATCCCCCGAGTCCAGCAGCTTGTAGGAGTCGATCGATATTTTCGAATGCATTATTGACCTGTTGAGCGGCATCTTCAACAGGAACATTGCCGTCGGCGTCCCAGCCACCTTGACCGGAACATTTCACAGTATCACCAAGGTGTATAGCCTGCAAATACCAAAACTTATTTCCAATTTTCTCTCCCGCACCAGGCCCGTCAACATAATTTCGGCAGACATGGTTGGTTTCTTGAGATTGTTTTAGCAAGTGTATTGTCTAGGAGCATCGGTCAGGCATGGGCAAGCATTTACCTGCAAGGAGACGTGTTGTCTGAGCCAAATGATTTGCCTTTCGTGGATATAGATCGCGGTGTAGTTCGGTGGTTTCGATGTACTCAGTTCAGTGCAGACTTTGAGGAATATGCGACTGTTTATATAGTTTTTCCCCTCCAGTCTGCAGCTAAAGCTCTGAATAACAGGATCTATACCGGCTGCGGTAGCTACTACAGTACTATCCCTGGTGTACAATATAAGCCATTGTGTCCGTAGGTCAACAAATTTTCCGAGTGTCTTCTGTGATCACTGATAAGTAGCGAGGGTCGCCGACTGGCTAGGAAGATAAGAGCTCCGAGCTACAATATATTGGAAATTTTTGTGGGATGAATACAACATTGGTACATTTCTTCAGACAGGGAAAATTGACCAAATTTGCGAGAATTAGCGTAAGTCAGAGGTTATTACGGGTCGAATCTGAAGATTGATGTAATAATATACGCATGGCAACATGGGCACAATAGACTTTGACATGTAAGCGATGCAAGTGAAACTCACAGACTCTAAGGGCTATTGAAGGTGAAGTCAACGGTTTGGAATCTTTCAAATTGCTAACACGAATCGAAGCACTAGTCCGAGAGAGGCTTTGGGACGCAGTCCGGCATTTGTAATTTTCGAATGTCACACCAAAACCCTAACCCAGGAGAGGTAAGTGGCGCTCAACTCAAGTTTGCCGTCTCAGAACCGGCACACTTTACAAAATGACGTGTGCCATGTAATAGAGATAAGGATGAAAGAAGTTGTACTTGAATAGAGCACGCATTTGCTCCTGACCACGGTGAACTAAATACATTTGATAATCCCACTAATATACACATTCACAATCACTTTTCTTTTTCTCACTCGCGCAATCATATCATGCCACAACTCACGCACCATGTCTACGAGAGTAAGGGCCAGCAGAACCTAAAGAGGTTCGGCTATAATCAAGCGTTTCGTGTGAGCGATCGTATTGAATGCTCCGGCCAAGGTACAAGGCTCCTGAACCTTGACGGCTTCACTCCTGACTAACAGTGCTTTCAAAATGCGGCTGGGATCCGCCAACGGGAGTATTGAAAAGGGAAATCAATGAGAAAATGTACCAGGCTTTTGCGAACGTGGAGCTTTGCTTGAAAACTGCTGGGGGTCAAGGCTGGTCACAGGTGTTTCGCATTAATTCATACCACGTGCCCCTTAACAACAAAGCCATAGCAGCCATGACTCGTAACTTGGATCGATATATGCCCGATCATCGGCCAATGTGGACAGTCAAGACGATTTCAGAGTGGAAATTGAAGTATCCGCCCATGACTCAAAACATGTTAGGCTTTAATGTTTATCACAAAAGGGTAGCTACGAATAGAAAAGAGCAAAATTCTCTTTGGTATTGAAGCTATCTAACTAGAAATTGGGGCCCTATTTATACATGCTGAAAGTCGCCAGGGTGTCAAGATCAATCAAGTCATTCATTCAAGACAACATCAGTCATTGTACCATTGTCTGTGATGTCTTGTTCTGACCAAGTTGTCCGAAATAGTTTTGTTTTGTGAAAAATGGTCTCGGCATTAGAGAGCTTAATTTTAAAGAAGACCTTGTTGCTTCTGTCGTTGACCTGGTTGTCTATGGTGTTGAGATTGAGAGCTGATATGCTAGCATTACAAGGCAAGAAATATCCTTTGTGATAGCGACTGGGGACTATCTGCTGCAAGTGCGCCGGCAAAAGTGGCCATTATGCTGAATTAATCATCCAATAGACGTAAATTGTTTATTTAATTTTTTTCTTCTTCGAGAAACGACAACAATAGTATGTAGGTAGCTACATGCCTACGAGAGCCGCCCGGCAGACTAAGCAGTACTTGAGCACAGAAGTGGAAATTTTTATATTGGGTACAAGGCAAAATCTTTCCAGTTTTGCATTGTCATGATTGCTACAAAGGAGTGGTACTTGTGATGGCTTTCAACTCGGAGGAAGCTCCCTCCACGTATCCAGGACAGCCCTTGAGAAGATCTGTTATTCCCGGTATGAGATTGCGAAGCCAAGCATGGTATCCACTAGGAGTCGCAAGTATTTTCGCCACAGCCGTATGATTAGAAAGCCACTTCTCATCCAAGGAGCCGATGAAGACGTCGACTACTTCTGGATACTTGAGGCTTCGGTAACTCAAGGACGAGCCGCAGCGGCTGCAGAATCCTCTGAGGACACCGGGAGATGACTCGTACTCGGCACATGTTGATGAATCTTTGAGCGAGGGTGCTAGGCTCAGCCTCCGAATCGCAAGGAACTGAGCAAGCAACGAGGCGGTGAATTTCCGACCCATGGTCCATTGACAAGCGCAGGACTAGACTTTGTAGTTTCAGCTCTTGTCTCGTTTTTATCTCTTGCATACAAACAAGGCAGTTGGAGTGGAATGCGAGCTCACCATTGGGGGCCATTTGAAGTCCTCATCGAATGACACTCGAAATCGAACAGAACCAAAGAGGCATCCTCCAGTCAAATGAGAGGTGCCGTTGGAACTTGGTTCTCAAGCATCTTGAAATATCCAGTTGTGAAACAAAAAAAAAGCTCTAATGTAACGATGAAATTTTTTGGTAATGCGCTATAATGGTCATATAAACTTACGTGGCTTTTTTCAAGTCTTGTACCTTCTACACCTCGGGAGCAGCTCTCTGCCGAGTGGAGGGTCTCTCATAATTATCACGTGGTCGTGTTGTCCAGTGGGTCGGTCCGTTTCGTGCCTCAGACTCTCGCCCCTCTCGTCGCTGTGCAGGAAGTCAATTGGTTACGCCACTCCAAGCTGTCCACATTCACGAAAGATTGATCGTCCGTCCCTGGATCGGTGTACTTGGACGGCTACTCTGACGACTCGTCTCCGCGTTTAGGATATCCCGCGCTGCCTTGCTTAGCTTCCGAGTCAATCGTGGACGACATGCAGATGGCGTCTGTGCCGCCGCCGCCGACGCCAGGACGCGCAGTCCGAAGACTAATCCTTCTGCTTGTCAAAGCAACGCGTCACAAGCTCTTGCGAAGACTCTGGAGAAAACAGACCGGCCTTTTTCACATTTCCAATATCTGCATCAAGACAAAACGGGCCGGGAACCTGTCCGAAGCCTACGCGATGCAATTCGTCGGCACACACACATCCATTCCCGTGCCCAAGGTGTACTACGCTTTCATCCACGAGGGAACATCATACATAGTCATGCGCCACATCAAAGGAAAAATGGCTGCAGCTGGCTGGTTATCCCGTTCAGAGGAATCGAAAGCGCGAATAGTAGAGCAACTGCGCGGCATGATCACGGAACTTCGCTCCGTTCCCCCCCCAGAAGGGACACGAGTTGGCAGCATCGATGGCGGGCCTCTCTGGGACTGTCGTCTGCCATCACGGGACTACTGGGGCCCGTACGCTACCGTTCGCGAGTTTCACGAGGCACTGACCGACGGCATTCCGTGGGACAGCGACTGCACCAAGTTCCCTGACCTTGCCGAGCTCTTTGCCTTTTATCGGCAGGCGGAACATGAGTTGGTCCTGACCCACGGTGACTTGAGCAGCCTCAATATTCTGGTCCGTGGGGACACCGTCGTGGGAATAGTGGACTGGGAGACGGCTGGGTGGTTCCCGGCGTACTGGGAGTACACAACTGCGAAATATGTGAATCCTCACAATCCATTTTGGGCGGATCCGGTCGATCAGTTTATAACGCCCACGCCCGAGGAGTGGAAGATGGAAACTATTCGACGCAAATACTTTGGTGACTTCTGACAAATTTATTGACTTGCCCTGCATCAAGGCGCTCGCTCAAGCCCATCAATCATATCCCAGGTTGCAGCCTTGTTCTGGTCAAAAGTCCCCTGTCCGTCAAAACGATGGGCGGCCTTCTTCTGCCCGACATACCACATGGCAGTATCTCGAATCGAATCCCAGCCAAGATTCTTGGGGGTCCCCAGGACCCTGTCTTCCCGCAGAGCCGTTTCGATAGCCTCTTTCACCCACGCGACACAATTCCACCCCTCCACCCCGGGTCGAATTGGGGTGTTCCTCAGGAGGGACTCTAATCTGTTTCCGTCCTTGACCTTGCTAATCATGACGCGAACAAGAAACTTCGACGTTGGCAGCATGGTGCTCTCCCGCTCCTCGTACTCCCAGACAGACTCGGGCACTGGAGGAGTGCCCACGAACCGCATTTTCTCTTTTGCGTGGAAACGAGCGCCTGTGCTGCATTTATCCTCGGTCTTTGGCCCCACCATGAGAGCCCAGTGGTATCTGTCACTGTCAGAACAAGAAGGACGCGCTGGCATTGCAGTGACTTACGTGTCTTCGAGTCCCGGCATGGTTGGTGCCCCTCCACGGGCATACAAGACAACGTACAGACGATTTTTGTCGGAAGGCATTTTTTGTTTAGTTGGAGGAAGGATGCAGTTGAAGAGCACTAGAGTCATTCCTCCACGAAGAAGGGCACGTCTTTATACACGAAAGGGCCAAGCTGGCAAGGCCTTTTCCGTCTTGGCACGCGCGCCTGACTCCCAGTGAGAAGGCGACCGCACAGATAAACGGACCTAAGAGTACTCGGACATGCGCTTTCGTGGCCATGGGATATAAGCGCGCGCGAACCGCGGCGAACCCCTGGGACCAACGTCTGCGGCCTGCTGGCAATGCCATTGAGAGCAGGCCAACACAAAGCCTAGTGGCTCAATCAAGGCATCATGGGGGCCGACGGGATGAGCCGCTCACAACGGCGGTTGGCAACCGTGTACTGGTTATCTGGACGGTTAGTCACGGTGCGGGGTGGGCATTCCAGCAAATAACTAAGTGTCGGCCGTGTTAGGATCCAGTTATAGGCGCCAGTAAATTTCTTTTTCCGCGATTCGTCGAACCACCAGACTCATTCGGAGGGTGATGACCCAGCACCCAAGCTTGGATTTCGCGATGCGTCCCGACCCCCATGAATTTGTTTGGTCGAAGCATGGGCCTCTCCTCTGTATCACGGCCAGGGCCTGGTGAAGTCTTGTCCTCTCCCCTCGGTCGAGAGGATGAGGCCTGCACTGTGCGGTCTCCCGTAGCCCCAAGTGCCCATGTGAGATTGCCCCCATGTGAGCTTGCGGCGACTCTACTGTTGCCTCTAGAGGGCAGAAGTAGGGGGTGTCGCCCTGTTTAGAAATGTAGTGTAGACTCTTCTAATTTAATATAAATATTTATTTAATTTAAATTACACCAAAGTTGTGAGTTCTTGTTGTCTGATAACTAAGCTATAAAAGCTTGTCGTGGCCCTCTTTATAGGTGCTAGTAGCGCCAACATATACCGTTAATGTTAGACGATCCATCCGTGTAGGATTAGGAATCGGCTTCACATCCAAGACTGCTTACCTGCACACACTCTTCTCCGCATACTCGAGCTCAGCAGCCAGGTGTAGCTGAGCCACATCCACCAGTTGTGCCTCGACCCGCGTGAACTCTCGTCTCTACGATATCGGGTGGCAGGAATTGCCTACACATCTGAACTAAGAACCTACCCGTTCAAGGCACCTGAAGGCAGAAGACAAGCTGCGGTGAACCATGACAAGTCCTGGCAGCATGAGCCTAATAACACCATGTTTATTTGCGGCAAAGCAGTAGTCGGAGAAAATGTGATGAATATCTGCTTTTTTTAGTCTCACCTCCTCATCGTTTGTCTTCCTCCCTCTCGCTTTCTCTCACTTCACTTTACTTTTCGGAACGGCCGCAATACTAACTCCCTCATACTTCCACAGTATTGACGGGGCTCCTTGGAGGTATCAGACCGAAATCACCAGGTCTGTTGAGAGCCACATTCCGCTTCGCAGCTTCGTACGCTAGAAATGCGTCCTCTATAAGGCCCCCTACATGCCGAAAGCGGTGCTTACGATGTGTAGGCTGTGTAGGCTGTGGAGGTTGTTGATTGGCCTGCGTGGGCTCTTGGTATGTCCCTGTAGAGTCTGGAATTCTTACATCCTTGACCCAACCGACGTACTCGAGTGTTTCCGAGGTCTGAGTGATGAGGTCAATGACCTTTCTGTACTCTTGGGAGTTCCTCCATCTTCTCTCCGGCTCTGTTCTCATCAGGCTCAAAAGACTAGTAATTATAAACGTGGCACCTCCTAGGCCCGCAATAGGTATTTGGCTTAGATTGTCCGCCATCGACCTCAGAGCATGTTGGCTGGGCGGCGGCGCGAATGCAGTGAAGCCGGTGATGAATGCCGAGATGATTAGCTGAGCAATCACCAGGCCCCAGACCAACCAGTAGGTGAATACATAGAAGCCTTGCTCTCGGGTGTGTTCGCATTCTGATTCGTTGTAGATCCTTAGCGTCGCATTCCAATATTTGTCAAAGTCTGTAGAACCACGGCGCTTTTTTCGAGGCCCTCTGACTGAGGGTCGGGAATAGCAGCCGCACCACCTGATACAAACACATGTCCGGGAGGGCCGCACAGCTTCAAACTCTGGGACTGTGTCTGGGGCTGGTGGCCCTGGCCGCGGTGTAGGAGGTCGTTCTTGTGGAGGAGGCTGTTCTTGTGAAGAACCCGGTCCTGGCGAAGGAGGCCGTTCTTGCAAAGGAGCCAGTTGTGGTGAAGGCGGCCTCTCTTGTGAAGGACCCGGCTCTGGTGAAGGGGGCCGTTCTTCTGAAGGGCCCGGTTCTGGTGAAGCAGCCTTCTCTAGCAAAGGAGTCCGCTCTGTTGATGTCTGTTGTGAGACTGCCCCTGGCACTCCTGGCTGTTCTGGGCTCTCGCTTCGAGACATTGCTAGGGTATTTTGCAACTAGAATTGATAATAAAAGCGTAGAAATGTACTCATGGGTTCAAACAGCGCGTCATTACCTCCGATACTTTGTCCTAAATTGACGAGTCTTTATGCCTTGCTCGGGGGACTATACGCCATGCCTCTATCCTAGACCTCTTCTTCATTATGTATCGGCAGAGCCGCGAATTCGAGGACAGGTCCGTCTCTTGCGGAGCTACAGGCATGCCAGATGGCCCGGAGACCATAATCTCGTGCAAAGGGGGATACCTTGGCCACAAAAACGTCGCAGTATGCCATAAACCTTTGGTCAACCTGCCTACCGCACCCGGGGCGCCTTTAGCTGAAAAGTCAAAATAAAGTTTCTGCAACCCAGTAATGGCGTCACGGAGGTGTCGCGACGGAGATGATATGCTCCGGTACGGGGACATTTTCCTTGCGACATTTCACCTTTGTCTTCAGCAGAGCCAGAGCTGACATTCCAATGTACAGTCGAATGAATAAAGTAGGCGACCGACTGCTCACAGGAAACGAGACATTGTGTGCAGTTCCCATTCTACCCGCCCCTTGCAGAGACTACGCTCAAATCTCGAAACGGAGCAGAAAGCTGCCGAGCTGAGCTGAGCAGAGCATGTGATGGAATGTTATGGGAAGTAGTGCGCCACGGGGCGGCAGGAAAGAAATCGTCGACTGGTACCTGTCCCCTTGTGTGATCAACCATGAAGCCGCCATTGCAAAAGTGCTGCAGGTTGATCGGCAGCCCGCAAGCCAACTCGGTGTCTTTGCACCATCTCGTTATTTCGAGAATATGGGTCGCCGAGACTCCAGGGCCAGTAGGGATAGAGTTGGCAGGCCCGTTTGTATTGGGAGTCAATATGTTGGGTTGAGGGAATGCCATACAGAGCGTTACGGCCCAACTAACCGTCATCCCGGAATGACGTTTGAGAGAATATGAACGAGATATACTATTTAAACTAAATACAAGTACAAATGTGGATAAGTTTATTGGTGGCCGTTTACTCTTGGGCGGAGCCTACTTGGTCGTTACCAACTATATATACATAGCGTCCCGAGTACTTTAGCTCTACCCCCCAGCCCTTTTATCCGACTGTACCCCGTGTTGTCTGGGGTTCGCTTCCGACTCCGCTGTGGTTTCCGTGTGCTGGTGACTGGGGTAGGTAGTAGGGTCAAAGTCGAAACGGCCGAGAACGAAGATGAGAGTTGGGGTTCGGCCACCAGCTCCAAACCCTTGATCCCTTACTACTCAACTTCTCCCGGAACACACCAATCGACATGTCAGGCATATACAACGCCTTTTGGGACTCTTCATCTTCAGATGGGTGCTCAAACACAAAGGTGTGCTTCTTGAACCTCTTCGCAGCCCTCTGGCTCCCGAAATACAGCGTCGGCGTCGGCGGCGGAGTCACTCGCACGAGCCCATGCACCGGCAACATCACTCGGCAGCCTGGACCTGGATCTGGAATGTAGGCAGACGATGCTATAGTTGTACGCATAATAGACAGATTTCGGTTGACCTCGGTGCAGAATTCATCCACGAGACGGTCGGAGCCGACTGGGAACGTCAACTGTAGCCACCGTGACTCTCGAGTCATCGTGGCTCTGATGAGTTGGATTTGTTGGTTAGCCGGTTGGTTGACAGGCTGCTGAATGTCCTGCGCAACTTGCTGTGGTGCATCTTCCTGTGGTGCATCTTCCTGTGGTATAATTTCCCGCGGAGTAACTTCCTGCGTAACTTCCTGTGTTGTGTCCCGTGGGATTTCCCTTGCGAAAACCCTTGCGACAATCCTTGCGATTTTCCTTTTGATTTCCCGTGGTGCTCCCTGTCCGACTCCCTGTTCTGTTTCCCGGTTGGCTTCTTGTTGATCTTGAGCTCTGCTACCAGGACCGTTGTCCAACAGACTATCGGCTCCTAGTTTATTGCACTCTACGTTACCTTGGAGGCCGCTTTGCTGACTGCTTGGGGCTAACATAACGTCAAAGATTAGAGCATTTCCCCTGAGAACCGGGCTCTCAGGCGCTTTAATCAGGCATATTGATGTATGAACAATACAATGGTTTGTGAAGAGCGTACGCAGGGTGTTTAACGCATTGCATAGAGCCACGGATGATTAAAATAGGAACAAGAGAAAACAGTACTGACTAGATGGAGCTAGAGATTCGGGAGGGTTTAAGAGACGGACCGCTGACCCCAGGAGCCCTCTAGGTATCCTCGAAAATGTTTTCTAGCCTTGGCTCACTCTTTCTATTTTTGAAGTTGCGATGGGAAATAAAGTTTTGCAGTGGCGAGAAGCCGCATGATGTTTCCATCTCAGGTGCGAGACGTGGCGGTGGCGCGATGATCACACCCAGGCGGTGACTTCACATCTTGATGCATTCCTATTTCAACCCAGAACCCCACGAGCTGGCTCCTTTCCCCCCCGACAGCCTCATGATGCGTTGTCAGACTTGACCACTATCTTGTACTAGTTTAAAAACTACGCCGCTCTGTCCGTCCACGCCCGGACAGACAGTGTGCCTCCCAATGGCGAACAATAATGCCGACAATCGCCATATTTACGAGCCAAGTGACTCGTTTGACTGGCTCATCAATCATCACCGGGCAAACCTCGTATGGCCAATATCGAACAGAGACTCGTTGAACTTTTGGATCCGTTATGTTCTTCATCGGGACCAGGACAAGAACCTACGTGGCAGAAAGGGCTTCCGAGTAGATTTCACGGAGCTGCAGAGAATGCACATGAGAAAGCTCCAAATTAAATTGATCCGTCACGTAGCCTTCATGGTAGACAAAGGACAGGAACCGGAATCCAGCTGGGAGCAAGATCTCCAGGCCTACAGTACGAAAACACACAAGTCGGTCCCAAGCCGCGGGCTGGCTGCTAACATGATCTTGACCGCAGTAAAAGCCGTCCAAGACTACGACTACATGGTCCAATTCATCAGGACACGGGACGACCCCTTCATCGCATCCTCCGAGCGGCGGGTCGACCACAAGATCCTCTTTGAAGAAATGAACAAGGCTGGGATTGACTTCGCACGACTCGCTGGTCCCGAGATTAGCCTTCAAGGTGCGAAACCGATGGTGATTCCCGCCGGTCCATGGAGCCCGAAAGACGAGCCCGTCTGGGGCAAAAGATATCTCAGCAACATGAGGAGTAAATTGAGACGTTTTTGGGATCGTGGCATGGCACTTGTGGCCGCCTACGCTTTCCTTCTTACACCTATTGTGCTCATCTTCGTTGAGACGTTGACTCCCGCCGCTACAGACACCCTTACAGCGAATCTAGCGCCAGTCATCATAGTCGTCAGCTTTGTGGCCGTCTGGGTGGTATTCATGATCGCGAGGGTCAATGAATTGAAGGATGTTGTGCCCTTGACTGCAGGGTACGCCGCGGTGTTGGGCATTATTCTCAATTCGGCCGCAGCGTTGCGACAAGCGTTGATTTCTCATGCTGTCAGTACTGGTAGTGGTTGATTGTATATAGTAAACGCCTAGTGGACACCATATACGAACGCAGACGCATTCGGGGACATGCTCAACAGATTGGATCATCTCAATTATACATGCTCATACACGGCTGGGAGACGGGGCGGCCACGCTCGGTGGACTTGGCGTCTTGTTCTAAATAAAAGTCCTATAATGCGCTCTTCTTGACTGCATTCCTCAGCCGACCTGACGGCTCTAGGCCATTGAGATCCTTTGGTAACACTAAATATGGTGAGGCTAGTGTCACGCTGACAGCAACTGCCTTGGCTAATGGTCGTATCGTACGGCGCAAGCCATTCTGAAGCGGCGAGTGAATACGGCCCTTATCGGTACCTAGAAGCCATTCAGTCCTTGTTATCTAGCCAAAGCTGAACTTATGACGGGTGCCGAGTTTCCGAGCACAATTCCCGTGGAGGTGAGAGAGCACAGTCTGGCGCCTTAAGAGCGCCATCAAGAGGTACATATGAAGGACTAGTAACTAGTGCAATACCTCTACGACTAAATTCTTTGCTGTTGGCAAGAAGCCAAGTTCAAGGGTTGGACGCCTCGAAGGCCTATTTTGACAGTTCCCCCACCCTTTCCATCTTAAAAGGACCACAGTTGCCTTTTGATGCCCTCGGAGAGTTCCACTGCACCCCCTCTTCGGCAAGGCTATTCCGAAGTCGGAGTTTGTCCCAGCTGTACGCCTTGCCATATTCGGCCATCATGTATCCATGGTCTCATAGATTTGTTTCTGCTGGTCAGCCCATCACTTGGCACCGCCGCAGAGTGTGACGGTAAGCTGGATGGTGGTGTTTGGTATTGTGTCTATTCATTCCGTTATTAGAACGTGGCCAGCAAGACCTAGCTCGTCTGTGATGTGCATAAGACTTGTATTGGATACGATTCATTTGACCAATTCGGTACCTTGCCTTGCAAGAGGGAGATTTCTATCCAACCAAGTTAAAAACAACACCTTTAATGTATCATCATGTGCATAATTTAAAGAAATTGATTTGATAACCTTGGAGACCCTTACAGGAATCGATGCTCCTTGACTTTGTCAGACCGAGACTGAGTTTCGAAGGCGCTTGCTATTCGTAATTGCCGCAATAGGAAATTATATAAATAGGCGGTTGTGTAGGATTAGCTTGACTGTTTGAGAAGTTCTAACTAGCTGCGGAAGTAGAAAAAAATAAGATGGTATAATCGCGTTGTCCGTACTTGTTATTAGCCGATGGCATCTTCGCAACAGCCCACGAAGCTCAGGCGTATAATCTAAGCAGCCTCGAGGGACGGTTGGCCTTCGACCTACCAGCGTTACTAGCACATCCATAACAATAGAAATCTGCTCAAATAGACCACCAGCAGCAAAATTCTCTCTCGGCTCAGTACTAGCTATATTGTCTAGCCGGATATCCCAGATTCGGACAATGCTGAATATATCGCGCGAACGTATGCCTCGGTGCGCGCGGTCCCAACCACCCCCTCGCCCATCTTATTAGGAGCGTAGCCTATAGTCATCTTCCGATCCAAGTCCATGACACCGGCGGAACCACCCCATCCAACCCAGTAACAGATTCGGCCCTTTGGAAACCATCCATTCGGCACGGATCCATTGGGGAGAGCGAATCCAGTCCCCCACGTAATTGGAACACGGAGAACCAAATCGTTGCCACTGGCCTGCTCTTTGAAGATCAAATCTATTGTCCTCTCCGAGAGGAGTCGTTTCCCACCTACAGAGCCACCGAGGCTGATGACTGAAAGGATGGCCGCGATGGACCGAGCATTGGCAAAACCGCCCATGCCACCCATTTCCGCCTTGCGAAATTCGGGAGTCCCCGCGTACTCTGCTTTCATGGGAGTACCCATGAACGCCGCCGTCTGGACACTATCCATGTCGACATTCCCCGAGGGTGTGGACGGCGGCGGGGGCGGAATCACATCACAGATTCGTTCCCAATCCTTCTCTTGGGCGCCTATATGAAAGTCGGCACCGAGAGGCTCCGAAATCTCTGTCCGAACAAATTCCTTGAGCGACTTGCCACTGACTCTTTTGACGAGTTCTGCCACGAGGTGGCCTTGGCTTACGAGATGATATCCAGAAGCCGTACCCGGTGTCCACCAAGGCGACTGGCCGGCCAGCCTTGCCGCAGCGTCTGGCACATTGTAGATATCCTCGGCCGTGACCGGGCTGTCCCAAGCCGCCAGGCCCGACGTGTGGCTCAACAAGTGCCGGACCTCGACGTTTTCCTTTCCATTTGCCGCGAATTCCGGCCAGTACGTGGCAACCTTTTCGTCTGGACCAAGAAGCCCGCGATCAATCAATACCAGCGCAGCGAGGTTCGTCACACACTTTGTCGTTGACCAAACGGCGCACAATGTGTCCTTTGTCCAAGCCTGTGTGCGGTCGGCGTCGACGTGTCCTCCCCAAATATCGACGACTGTTTTGCCGTTGATATTGACGCAGATTGATGCGCCTAGTTCGTCTCCGGAAGCCAACTGCTGCTGCAAAAGCTGCCTCACATTGGCGAACTTGGCGTCACATTCGCCGCTGATGGAAGTCATACTTGCCGGGTTTTTTTATGTGCACAACTCCGTGGCCGTACCGCCTTGCAAAGTCAAAATGCGCCGCTCTATAGGCTACAAAAAGCAAAAGAGACGCGGGTCAAATTCGGAAGAAACTAGGAGTAGTCGACGTTATGTAATTGAGCCCGAAAACTTGGTGCTGATGTCAGCTTCAATCACCCCCTCACTTTGGCGCTCTTGTTGCCTTTGTCATGTGAAACTGCGCAAACCGACGAGACCACGCCTTTTCTCGTGGCTCGCCAGACGGACAGGCGTCGATTCCAGGCCCCGTTTCCGCTCATGGTCGTGGGCTTGGACCTGAATTATGCCAGGACGAATTCACAGTTCATCCTGGGGCATCGCCGGATCTTGTCTAGAATGACTTCAGATGTTTTCCCCGCTGGCGCTGGACTTGCCATGCGTGTGTCGCCGAGAGTATCCGGCAACTGCGGGATGCTGCCGACGACATAGAATAAATGTCGAAATAGAGAAGAAGTAAAGTAGTCGTTGGGACCACACTTAGCATTTATTGAACAGGTCTGCCGAAATTGGAGGCCTCCTGCTGATGGAGACTGTATTGCGATATATATATGACGGTGACGGTATTCCGTATACCAGTATTCAACATACCATCACACTGCAACACCCTCGGCATTTCGTTCAACGCCCAATTGTCGTACCTCCCTGGGGCCTCTCGGTTCAGCTTATAACCCCCTGAGGGATGGGTACCGTTGCAGATCGGCACCATATATGCACCGCTTCATTGAGTGCCTCTCTCGTCAATCCGTCCAAGCACCCGGCTTCCACACTAACAGTGAGGATGATGCCCTCCGGTGCATGTATTCCTTATGCCCCGGAATCTGGTCCCGAAGCCGGTGCGAAAGTCGACACTCACACGTACGACAGAAGAGGCACCTCATGTAGCGACAAAGTGCAGTATACCTCGTAAACGTTCCGATGGGAGTAGATGAATGGGAAGCGTCATGGCCTGGTGATGGGAGCGCAGCGTGGGACCCAGACGCAGCATGCTCTGGGGATTGGCATGGAAGGCATCAAATGGCTGTGAATAAAATTGCGCCAGACATGTCTGAGTTGCGACATTAAAGCCATTAAAGGATAACATTAAAGGGCACCAGCCGGCTTTTATGGAACAACCAACCATCAGCGTCCTCTCAGAACATTCGAACCACCCCATGAAGGCAATGGGGCCAACCACTCAGCGATTGATGCTACTTGACGCCACTAAATAGCCAATGTTGAGTTACGCTCCAGATGTTGCTGTGGCCATGGTGTGCTGAATGCGACAACGACCTAGCATGGCAAAGCTTACGGCCGAGAGTATATAGCGTTCACGTAAAGCCTTACCCAAAAGGGTCCGTCCAGTTATATCCGTTGAAATCGTCTAGGCATCAACAACGCCAGTGTGGAAACGGGACAGGAGGAGCTTTTATTTCCCATCTTAAAAGCAAGCAATAGCTGCACTATCGAATAGCGTGCAAGCTATGTGTAGCCTTTTTCTTTACGATCATGACTGGTACTTGACCATAGTGTAGATATGTATACGTCTTGCGACCTATACCACGTGAATCAGAAGAGGAGCTGATACATGTGTCTGGCTGCTACACTCTCACCTTGACCACTTCTCATGAGGTTCAACTTTCTGGTGGCTTACTTTAGAGTCTACCACTTATACTCACCTCTACCCAAAAATATACCCCAACGACGACCAAGGCGCCCGGCAATTTGCATACGCTACGGACAACGTGTTCAGTTGGACGGGTTATGGCAGGTCAGAACAGGTTCATAATGAGTGGGAGAGAAAGGAAAAAATCAAATACATGGCCCAGTAGTCTACCTTATCCCTTCCCTCTATATCTCTTGTTACAAACAACGTGATTGGCGTCAGTTAATAGTGGCCAAAATTCCGTGTTATAGATGAACCAATAACCCCATATACAGGACGCACGGACTACACAAACACCAAAATGCAAACCGTACCCGACATTGGCTGAGTCCGTGCAGAGAGCCACTAATGTACATGATCAAGAGCCTAGACATAAAAATATCCCCGAGGCAGAGCCTGAGGAAGGCCGACAAAGAGTAGGGCGGCGACGGTAAAGGCAGTGTCTGGCGCTGCTCGAGCCTAGACTATGGTTCACTCAGGCTTTCCACGCAAATCCTTCGAACAGAGGCAAGCTAGACTACCCATCATGTAGACAATCAGGGCCTCCGTGGGTAAGGTGAGTTTGCGAAGAGGGGCGCCGGGGGCATTGTGGGGCTTGTCCGGGAGCCCTGCCGTCCGCTAAACCGTGTTGGGACAATGGTAGGGTTGTAGCGCCGCCTCGAAATTTGAAGTCAATTTGTTACTTTGTGCTCTGTGAAGTGTATCCTGATTATACGTATACGTGGCGGACCATTTACTGAGAAATCCCCTCTGATTCCAAGCCCAAGATGACCGTGACCTATGCCTTTTCCACGCATTCGTCAAGCCTAGTTGGCTCTACCTATTCTTCTCCCGAGGTTGGACTGGTAGTGGCGGAATGTGAGCGGGATTTGGCGAATCACTACGAAACAATTTGGTTATTTCATCATACCTCGACCAATCGTATATAGTTCATCGGCTCCCAAGCATCAAAAGGAACGTGGAACCAGTGTGTTAGCTCATTGATTCCCGGAAGCCGCGCTGTGTTCTTCAATGCCCACCGCCCTATCAACAGACCCGGACCAGGCCTGTCACTGTCCAACCGTCTGCCAAACCTTGCGCTTGCCCGTGAAGCTCCCATCAGCCGTTAAACAGTTTCTTTGTTCCCATCCCACGAAGCTAGCCACTATATCCGCAAAGGGTTCAAATACCTCTTGGAACGAGCCAACAGGGCTTTTGAAACACAGCTAACACGGAATGAAGAGAGCCAAATGCAAGGTCAGTCATTGCACTGTAGCCTCGAGTCCTCGTCCAGTATGAACTTTGGGGTGCCCTCCAGTATGGGCGCAAGTGGACGAGATTTGATTGCTGCAGCAACGAATTTTAGAAATGAAGAAGGAACACCAATCAATCAAGTTGTTGCGAGAGATGACCGGCGGCCTCCCATACACATACTGGCTATTACCGAAGAAAGAAAAGTTGACACCCGTACCTCCGCTCCCCGTTGCCCTAGGTATGAGCGAGAGCGTGATGAGCTCCAACAGCAGCTACACGACATCCATGTCCGCACCATCAATCCACCCGTGGACCATGATGGCGGTAAAGCAACCGCAGCTCGTGAGAGGAGGCAAGCCACTGGTGCTTAGCCGACCTCAACATTGAGCAACTCGCACCAGGATTGAAGAAGGTCTGTGCCGACTGGTGAGCCATCTTCGATTCTGATGTGCGTCGTGTCATAGACGTGGAAATGGTATGCACAATACCACATGCAAGTTTTGTCTGCTGCTCGCATTTAGTCCTGATGGTGCGAGAGTGGCAACCGGATGTGACCAGACTTGCTCAGATGTTTGACGCCTACCTCGGAACCACAGTCTGCACATTGGTGCACCCCTGTGGCCAATGCGGTATCAGAGACGGCGTTTATATTCGCAGCGTTTGCTTTAGCCCTAATGGCCAGTACCCGGCAACTGGGTGCGAAGACAAGAAGATCGGGTATGTGAATCTGCCCCTTGGCAAAAGTTAAACTTGGCAAAAGCTTCCCCTTGGAGGACCGCAGCTCACAACGTGATGCAGGATCTGGAAGTTGCAAACGCGAGGGATATATCTCTCCTTTACTTATCACACAGACCAATTCTACTCTCTGACTTTCGCGCCTGACAGTCGACTCCTAGGGTCTGGAAGCAGCGTTGCCAAGGTCTACCGTCAGCCCAGCTTCTGGCTCGTCGTGTCTTTGTGATGGTGTACTGGTGTAAAAGTCTGGTATACTTTGTTTCTCGAGAAGGGCTATACATAGTATATACGCCCAGCCAAAGAATAAGCATGCTATGCCATTTTGTTCGCTATCTAAATGATCAAGACTGCTGCGGTTCGATATAGAGCAAAGCGTTAGCCGCCGTCTTGTCGGATTCTACCGCCGCTTGCCTTCGGATCGGCTTCTGTGAGGTATTGTACATGCCGTCGACTTCAGTTTCCAAGTTTCCAGTCCGCAGAGTTCCGTCATGGCTTGCATGTTGTCTGGTATGGCCGGTAGTCCCTCGCTCATACTGGCAAGGTCAATAATGCCACGCACGAAGCGCATTGAACTGGCTTTTGTAGCCAGCCCCTGCCAGAGCTGACTGCTCCAAGCGTAGATTGGAGCAATCTTGTCCGCGGTTGGAGTGACACAACATATTCTTGCTGAGTTCGGTGGCATCCAGAAGGAGTACCGGTAGACGACATCCTGATACTTTTGGTGTAAAGTCTGGGCGTGCGCAGAATGGAGTGCTCCGTGGATGGGCTCTGAAATAGCGAGGAGGGCTGGACGCCCATCATTCAGCCACATACGGAGACTGGATTTGGCACAAAGAACTGCCTACCTAGGTGCGTATACTCCGTACTTGTCTCATATCGCCCTTCTTTATTAAACTTGTTTGTGTAGTATAATATAATATAGCTCATTTCTTTAACATACCCCAATACTCGTGCCAGTAGCGCATCAAGTGGGGCCTAATTGTGCAAATACCGTGTGCCTCGTCATACCCAAACCCGAGACCGTGACACACCGATATCATTTATAGTATACTCAATTAAGAGGTGAAGGTGCTGTTATAGTTTCAAGTAAGCTACGGATTAGAAAAGATAATCAGATTCATTTTCTTGTGCCTATCTGTCAGTGGTTATCGGGTTTGAGCACTAAACCATAGAGCAAAATGACCCAGTAATAGCGGCCCCCGGCCGAATATGCCACACACCCAGCTTATAAGCTGCCTTCTTGGCTCACTTCTCTTCTTGTGGCCTGACATTATCCCGTCATTTTATTTCATCCAGACCGGCTTGACCAATTACCCTGAAGGCGAGGTCCATGCAGTGAATACCAACATGTTCCAGCGCTCTACAACCCGCCCCATGCCACAGGCAAGCTACTGGCATTCATCCCTTACTGGAAATTGGTGTCGAACCGCTTGAAAGTGTACCCAATAAAAGGCAAACTCATCTCCAGCGAATCCCCCAACGGCGTTTCAACGCCAGGCAGTGCCTGGGCCTTGAGGCGGCTAGCCATATCAGTCTGATCAATTTCATCAATGGGGAAGTAGGTCGTGTCGATATTGGAAGTCAGCCGCGGCTCAAACGGCGCCCTGATACGGCGCAAATGATCAAACTCGACTCCCCGAAAGAAAGGGTGTGCCTTGAGCTCTTGCGCCCCGCCACGGCCAATTCGGTCCTCGGCATCGCAAACCAATCTGAGCCATCAGCACGGGAGCAGCAACCAGCGGTGTTCAAAGGGCTCACCTGCGGATCAAGTTCTCAGCGGCTGGGCCAAGCTGGATATCATTGGGAAAACACAAAGTGTGCCTCCAGCTCACAATCTTCCGGTACGTGTCGTGCTCGCACTCGGCGCAAAATGGAGGCCATCCCACCAGACACTCGTACATGATGGTGCCGAGGGACCACCAATCGCAGCTATATGAGTAACCGCGGCCAGTGACTATCTCAGGCGCAATATAGTCCGGTGTTCCAACAGTAGAGTATGCCATCAATCTCCTCGACTGCCGCCACTCGTTAATCTGCGACCGATTGCTAACAGTAAGGTTAATCTGGTCAATCGTCATTGAGCTTTGGTCTCTTGGATTGCTAGACTTTCCCTGCAGCAGCTGCTGGTAGTAGCTTTTGTCGTGCAGACGACGAAAGCCGGTAGACAGGCCAAAGTCGGTCAGTTTCACATGGCCGCCCCGGTCCAGCAGGATGTTATCTGGCTTGATATCTCTAAACGGTGTAAGTGATGGACGGGGCACAATGCTCAGGCTGGCCTACCGATGGATGTAGCCGAGTTTGTGCACTGCCTCGATGGCTAATATGCACTCTGCCATGTAGAACCTGGTTATATCTTCTGAGAAGACCTCGTACTTGATTAGCATTGAGATCAAATCACCACCCGGTAGGAATTCCATGAGCATATAGAGAAAATGCGCATCCTGAAAGGTAGTAAAGAGCTTCACGACCCACGGACTTTCAGCTTCCGCTAAAATGTCCCGCTCGGACCGAATGTGCGCTAGCTGATCCCTCTGAAGCATCTCCGTTTTAATTAGAGACTTTAATGCGTAGACTTGGCCGTTTGACTTTTTTCGCACTAGTTTCACTTCGCCAAACCCGCCCTTTCCAATGACCTTGACTGTCTGGTAGTTCTCGGGCTTATCTTTAGTGCGCAAGAACCGCAAGTATTGCCCTTCCTTCCGGCCACTACTGGACCAGATCTGTTGTCGTCTTTCTTGACTAATGTTTGGCTCCTCGAGTCTTCTTTCGGTCTCACTTTGTCTACACAAAGAGCCGATTAGGACTGGTAACATTGTCCAAGGCCAAAGAAATAGTGCCTGGCAGCAAGATTTGGTACCTCTGGTTTCTCTCCCGAGCCCTCTTGACACTGTCCATGAAAAAGCTAGTAGCTTGCTGGGAGCACTTCTTCTGCTGGTGGTTCGCATTCTGGCCGTGTTTTTCCGGATTTCGTTCCGGAGCTTGAGCAAAGAACCCCAGGGTAGCCGGGATCCGCATGTTTGCCGTGGCTGACGAGATATGGTGTTCCATTGCCGGGACAACCCGTTCCGAAAGCGGGGGCGGGGAGCCAAAAGAATACTTCTGTCGAGTTAGTGGTAGGTTCTGGCTGGAGAGCTGGGGCGACTGGTAAGTCTACGCCTCGTTGTCCGTCGTCGGCTGTCTGGATGAGGTTACGAGAGTGTACGCCGGCGAATGCTATAAATAGGGGAAACCTGTGAGGCCTATGGATTAATAATTAATCCGTCATGACAGGAACTGCAACCAACAATTCGCACCCTGCGTTGAAGAGCAAATCATGTAAACCTGGCAACGGTTGTGACCAAAGTGGTCATGTTTGCCCCACTTCCCCAGTCGCTAGGCCTAAAATGGCAACCAAAGCACAACATTTCAATCTCCTCTGTACAACAAAATTCTCACACGATAAAACATCACAACCCGGCGTGACCACGGAACGTACTTTATTTGCGTTGCAGTTCATCTGGAGGCATGGCGCGGCATCTTCTACGAATTCTTGATAGCAGTACAACTTACTCTACAGCCATAGACTCACCATCAGGTTTGTGTTGGTGATTATCGGTGCGGCTGATGGGAACCTTCGAGCCCATCTGCAGGCCAGGCTCCACGGCGGCGCAATTGAGTATCACGTCCATGATTTCCACGTAGTGCGACCAAAGGAGCAGCTGGCTAGGCCAGTATTATGGCTGTTTCAGTATTGTTGATGACTATATCTGGCTGCCATTCGACGCCCAAATCGTGGCCGACTTGAACCCCCAAGCTCGTTTTGTCCCATCCCCCCTTCCCAAAACATGAACTTCCCTGGAGGCCCTCGGGTCAGCGCTAGTCCGGGCTGTCAATCTCATTACAATGGCGACCGTTGACCGTTGACCGTGGACCAACTTATTTGCACAAGTCTTGCAAAATCTTTCGCCCCCTCACACAGTCGTCTTCATGGCTCGGCTCCCTCTCCGCCTCCGCAATGCCTTCCTGAATCCACGCCTGCACAGCAGGATGCTCATACAGCCGGTCCAGGTACTCCCCCGCCGCGCCATCAAGCCGAATCCCATACGTCTTGACCCTCGAGGCAATGGGCGCATAGAACGCGTCGGCAACCGTGAAGCTGTTGCCGGCCAAGAACGGACCGCCGAACCTCTGGATGCCCTCGTTGAACAGGGCGGTAAATCTTTCCAGATCGCGCTTGAGCCCCTCGCTTGGCTCGCCGAGCTCGATGCGCAAGGCGACATTCAGGGAGCACTCGTCGCGAATAGCGGCGAAGCTGGAGTGCATCTCCGAAGCGGCGGACCGGGCAAAGGCCCGGGCCACGGGGTCGCTGGGCCATGCGGCCGGGTGCTTCTCCGCGAGGTACTCGCAGATGGCGAGCGAGTCCCAGATGGCGACATCCTTGCGCTCGGCGTCGTACAGACAGGGGACCTTGCCGGTGGGCGAGAACTCGAGGAAGTCGGGCTGGCGCTGTCCCGGCTTGAAAAGCTGCAGCTTCTCGTCAAAGGGGATGTCGAGCGCCTTGAGGAGCACCCATGGCCGCATGGACCAGGACGAGTATCGTTTGTTGGCGATGTAAAGTGTGTAGGCCATGATGTGGTTGGTGGAGGCGATGTCACCGATGCGAGCCCGACGTCTGAAAACAGTCTATACACAACTTGAGATGGATGAATCAGAGAGAGGGGGTTTCTCATGTAGATAAACACTCGAGCAGCATTCTTTGCCAAAATTCGACCAAACACGAACAGCAAAAACAGACTAGCATCAAGAGGCCAGCCAGCGCGGCCGGTTTGTAAGCAGAAAGGCGTGGCTTATGGAAAATGGGCCATGGCCAGCCATTATGGAGCCACATTTGCGCCCTCTGATTGACTTTGGCGGCTGAAGATCTGAAGCAAAGGGCTGCGCAGATGAGGCTGTTGTGAGGGTGAGAGAAATGTCAATGGCCAACTTTGGATGCATGTGCGCCAAGATCAACCCGACCACGGCGACGAACAAGCGCACTGCGAAGTTGGAACTAGGTCAAGGGACTGGATGTCGGAAACCCGATATGTATCCGATTGCACGGACCTACTCCGTAATAGTACTACTTACTGTCTTGTGCGTTGACGGTGAGAAGACGGGGCCTGCTCTGCTCCCAGGCGAAGAGATGATCAGACTCGCATAAACCATCAACTACCCGTTGGCAACTAAGTGGCTCGTCCACTTAGTCGCTGACGGGCAACGTCCATGACTAAATCGGCCGACGAGGTACTTAGTGTACACCGGCCTAAGTTCCGAGTTGATATACGTTGAGCGCATTGACGGCCAGAATGCAGCAGAAACGTAAATATCGCGTGGTCTCATAATCAGCCATGTTCTGCGCCTTCTTTATATCAGTAGAGCCACGTCATACTCCTTGTCATGGACAATTCTTACAAGACACTCATCCCAGTCCATGACTCTGACGTGCCAAAAGTCAACCACACCTTTCAGAGGGATTCTCTCCGTCCCCAATTCTGTGGATACCGTCTTCATGCTACCGTTGTATCCAGAAGGGAGGCCCAACCACTAACAAGTCGCAAAGCAGCAAGGTTTAGTCCAATTTTTCCCAGGAGGCCGTCTCCATCGTCCCCATCGTCGGGAATCGTCCGGACATCCACCTCCGTCAGTCGCGGCCGAAGCCGCTCTCATTCACGCCCTGCGATGCGGCCCCAACGATGACCAAGAAGAATGCAATTCTTGGGCCGTTTTTTCCCCTTTTTTGCTTCTTGAACTTCTTTCTTGTCAGAATCGCCCCTGCGATCAGTTCTTGAATTTTGGTACGTTAAATCTGCTTGTAAACAGGACCGGAAGAAATTCGCTCGCAAACCTCGGCTGTATCGATGCATGCGCAAAAATAAAATTTCGACCAAAGGGACGAGTTCCTCGTCCTGCAGCAAAGAGGAAGAAGAAGCCATGTCGCCGAAATCCGACCACCGGGTGGTAGGCACACCCTCTCCAGCACAACTCGAAGCACGCACCAAACAAGAAGCAGTTCATCCCGAGGACCTCATTGCCCGGATATCCACCGTCGACAGAGCATACCAGGCCTCGCCTCCGGATGGCGGTCTCCGCGCCTGGTGCCAGGTGCTCGCGGGGCACTTGATCATCTTCAACACATGGGGCTACATGATTAGCTTTGGCATCTTCCAGCCTCACTACGCAGAGATGCTGTCCATGGACCCGTCGGCAATCGCCTGGATAGGCAGCGTGCAAATTTGTCTCGTCTTCCTGGTCGGCACCTTTGCGGGCAGGGCCTTCGACGCCGGCTACTACAAGGTCGCTCTCATCATTGGCAACCTGCTTCAGCTCGTGGGCATCGCCACCACCAGCGTGGCCCACGAGTACTGGCAGGTGTTTCTGGCGCAGGGGATATGCCAGGGCCTCGGGTGCGGAATCGTCTTTGCGCCCACCGTCGCCAATGTCTCGACCTATTTTTCTAGGAAGAAGAGCATTGCTATATCCCTTGGTGCTTGCGGCGGCGCCACCGGGGGCATGGTGTTTCCCCTGATGGCGCAGCAGCTTCTGCCCAAGGTTGGCTTTGCATGGACCGTGAGAGCAATGGGACTGGTCGTGCTGGTGTCGTCTGTCATTGTCTATCTGCTGGTCAAGCCAAGACTGCCGCCGAGAAAGTCGGGCCCTATTGTGGAAATGGCGGCCTTCAAGGAGAGCACATATCTCCTGTTTGCCATCAGCATGTTTTTCACGCTGTGGGCTGCCTACTTTGCCTACTACTATGTAAGTCGGCTCGCGAAACCAGGTTTTTTGCAACAAAGTACTTACCCTGTCAGGCCCGAGCCTATGCCCTCAACGTCCTGGGCGGCACCCAGTCGACCTCGTTTACAATGCTCCTCGTCATCAACGCCGTCGGTATCCCGGGGCGTCTCATCCCGGCCTTCATCGCCGACCGATACCTTGGCGCCGTCAACACCTTTATTCCCGCGATATTCTGTGCTGCCGTGTGCATGTTTGGGTGGATAGGCGTGCGTGACATCGCTGCAGACTACGCCTGGCTGTGCATCTATGGATTTTTTGCTGCCGCCATCCAGGGCATGTTCCCGTCCACACTGGCCGGACTGACCAAGGACCTGAGCAAGGCCGGCACAAGGATCGGCATGATTTTCACAATCGTCAGTGTTGCAGCCCTGACGGGCCCCCCTCTGGCCGGAAAGTTGATCGAAGTGAATGGTGGGAGCTATCTCGGCGTCCAAATTTGGGGCGGCTCCTGTCTGGTGATGGGCGGCCTGTTGCTCATAGGGGCGAGGAGGGCAAGCAAAAGGGATGAAGGCACGAAACAGTAAAAAATAGACGCATATAGAACATATGCATAGAATTATTAGACTTGAATAATGTGTAATAGCCCGAACCCTGTTGGAGCCGAGACTGTTGCCTTGCGTTGAATGGCCCGTGCCTGGTGGTCCCCACTCCAGCTCCAACCAGTTGACAGTTTTCTTTCACCTCGATCCAACATCCAAACCCTTCATCCTCGCAGCCCGCCGCCAACGGCATGTTCTCAGCACCATGGGTCTGCCGAAGCTGCACACGCATGCTCCAGCGCTCATGCCAGCGGCAATTCCCTCGTTTCGCTTCCAATGGTACCTTAGAATGCCCTCAAATCCCCTAGCAGCAAACCCAACCAACCGTCCGCTGACCACAGCCAGACACGCCATCAACATTGGCACCCAGCCTCCTCCAGCGCGCCAAAGCCCTCTCCGCCGAACACGAAGCCCTTCAGAAATCCCTCAACGCCCAGTTCGACTCGCAAAAGGCCCGGCGCGCAGGCGAACTGCACCGCGTCGCCGCCGCCCTCTCGGCGTGGCAGCAATCACTCTCGTCCATCCGCGACCTCCAAGCCATGGCCGACGACGAACAGGACCCCGACCTGGCAGCCATCGCGCGCGATGAGCTGCAAGCCGAAGAAGCGAAGCTCGGATCTCTGGAAAAGAACCTCTCCGCCAGCTTGACGCCGCGGCACCCGTTCGCCGATATGCCGTGCATGATCGAGTTCCGCCCAGGGCCAGGCGGCCTCGAGGGCCGGTACTTTACCGACTCCCTGTTCAAAATGTACAAGGCGCTATGCACGCGACGGGGCTACCGCGCAAACGTGCTCAAGTACGAAATGGCCGACGCGGCAGGGGACCAGTCGTCGTCGGCAGGGGAGAACCCCGTGCAGGAAGCCATCCTCGAGATCCAAGACCAGGGCGCGTACGACATGTTCCGCAGCGAGGCGGGCATGCACCGCGTGCAACGGATCCCCAGCACCGAGAGCAAAGGGCGGGTTCACACGAGCGCCGTGGCGGTGTGGGTGCTACCGTCGTTCCCCGAGAGCAGCAGCGGCGGCGAAGCAGACGCAGACGACCCCGAGAGCGACTTTTACGTGAACCCGCAGGAGGTCAAGGTCGAGACGATGCGGGCCCGCGGCGCCGGCGGCCAGCACGTCAACAAGACCGAGTCGGCGATCCGCATGACGCACCTGCCCACGGGGACGACCGTGTCCATGCAGGACCACCGCTCGCAGCAGCGCAACCGCGAGGACGCGTGGAAACTGCTGCGCTCGCGCATCGCCAGCCAGCGCGCCGAGCTGCGCATGCACGAGGCCGCCCGACTGAGGAACAGCGTGCTCGCGCAGACGCAGATTACGCGCGGCGACAAGATCCGCACCTACAACTACAACCAGGACCGGTGTACGGACCACAGGGCCGGCCTCGACGTCCACAACCTGCCAGATGTTTTGGACGGCGGCGAGACCCTGGATCGCGTCATGGATGCCGCCAAGGAGTGGTTGGTCGCGAGGGAGATTGACATGGTTATTGCCGAGGAGGAAGCCAAATCTGCTGCCAAGTGAAATTGCCAGCATAGACTCTGCCCGTTGTATTACTTGTACGATATTGTATATGTTACTAGAATGTATAGACGGCAGCCCCCCGGGCGATAGTACATAGATGTTGGGCAATTCCATCGCCCAGCGGGCACTTGTTGATTTTCAACGACCACATTACCAGGTACACTGCTGCCCAGGTTTGAACCGAGTCCGTATATTATAAAGTATTCTTCTATATCGTACATTGACGCCAACTGTATCTGCTAACTCGCGAGCTTCTTGTCTACCCAGACGCCCGAAAATACTGTCCCTTTTGTACTTGCAATTAAAAAAAAAAAAAAAAAAAAAAAAAAACAGAGAGAGAAAACCATGCACCGAAATTACCTCCCAGTGATTATGCCCGTGGCCCCCTGTACATAGCGCAACCACTCGAATGAGACAAACAAAAGGTCAACTCTAACCACCCACTTGAAACAAAAATAAGACAACTCATGCAACTCCATGACGAACGAGTAAACCGTCCCAAGATTAAGTGTCTCCCCGACAATTATACTCCCTCTCACATTAACCCCCCCAGGACCACCTTGCCGATACTGGCCACTTCCGTCTTCACATGACCTCTGCTATGGTCTTCAAACTCCTTCACCACACCCTGTACTATAATCTTGCGCAGCTTCGAATCCACCTTTGTGAAGAGCTCTGCGACCGGCGCAGAGCACTCCCTCGGCGTAGGAACCAATGCCAGGAACCGCGAGTAGCAATCGACCAAGACGTCGCACAGCGTGGCAAACGTCTCGAAAAAGTCGGGCTCAAAGGGGAGCGCCGGCGTCAGGAGGTACGTGTATTCCTCGCCGGGGAGGAGATCGCTCTCCGAGACGGCAAAGTTCATGACGGACGGCGCGCCGCTCCCGGCACCCGCGCCGACGGG